TATCATTGCATCCGAAGAAATAAAAAGAGATTCAAAATTTAAACAACTTCCATTTTTGTACCAAATTAAAGGACATCCACAAATCTGGAAAAATTTTCAGAAATTTTAAAATTAAAGAAAACCTTTAAATTAAATTCATCTCTGTAGTGTTCCGCACATGCATATCTTAATCTTTTACAATAAGTTTTGTTAATTTTGTTGTAAGAATCACAATAAAGTTTGTATTGATTATTTGGGATCTTTTAAAAAAATTTCTTTTATTTTTAATTATTTGGGTCAGACCTCTTTATAAGACACTATATGTCGCTATAAGACACTCTCTAGAGCTGGAAAACTCGTACCTTATAATTAGGGGTATCTTGAATAAAATCAAAAAAATCCCAAACGCTCGAGCAGCTCCCCAACTTCCGCCCCCAACAAAATTTAAAAAAAGTGCCTTAAATAGAGTTGTATCAAACATTGGGAGTATCTTATAAAGAGGTCAGACAATAATATTATAAAGGAAACCGGATAATCAGTTCCATAAGTTGTTTGTTTCTCAGACCGCGTATAACAAGATTGAATATGTTTAGTACTTTCACGCATGGGAAATTCGCCTCCACAAACAGGACATCCCACTACCTTAAAAATAATTAAAATTAGAAAGCATTTTTATCCAAAAAAAGCAAAAAATCTAAATAACAATCAAAAAATTAAAATATTTTCTTTACAAAATTATCGTCTCCACTCTTTGGCCGTTCCGCAGTTGGCTGTGCATTTTTAATTGCAGCTAAAAAATTTTCAACATTATCTTTCCATTCTCCAAATTTTTTCAATTTTTGATGAATTTGTGTAATTTGTCCTTCGACGTTGTTAAGTTTTTTGTTGTCCTCAATTTGTTTAGAAGGAACTTTGGCGAAAAAATCGTTGAATCTTTGGGGCAAAATTGTTTTGAGTCTAATCTGAAAATTTAAAAAATTATTTTACACGGGGTCTTGATGGGTCTGACTCACATCAGTCTGGGCCACCCCCCCCCCCACAATTTGACCCACCCTCCATGTCAAGGGGTTGAATCACATCAAATTTGGGATTAGGGTCTGATTCTGACATTCCAAAGAAAATTATTGTTCCGATGTTTTTTCAAACGGCCGAAACTCTAAACCCAGACCCCAATTCAAATAAAAATAATCCCAAAACAAAATCTGAAACCTGTGCAAGCGCCAATCCACAACGTTCAGAACAATATTTAGATCCTTGCCGTACCTAAAAATAAATTTTAAAATACTTTTAAAATCAAGAAATAACCGAATTGGTACATTCAGGTCCAATACATTGTTTTTCTTCATGTTCAATTGGAAGCTTTAAAAAATAAAATTAATTTAATTATTTAAATTTTTGAATAATTTTTAATGGATATTACAAAAAACTGCTACTAGACACCCTGTAGAAAGATTTACTCTAATATCTTTTTAACAACTCTACAAACTAAATTGAAGCTGTGCGCCAAAATTTTCTGGTGGAACGCCAAACGCTAAATTTCAAATTTTTAAAACACGTCAAACGCCAAAAATCGGCCAAAAATAGACGCCAAACGCCACGACGCTCAGCCCTGTCGAGGTGTACCAACCAGGAATGCTGGGTTCAGAAAGAGTCAGTTTGGAGTTTCGTGTCGAAAAAAGTTAGGGGTTTGGGTTACTCGACTAATCCTTGGTCCTTTAAATAATTTTGAAAATAAAAAAACCTCATTATTATTCCTAGCTTTTGTCCTTTTACGCATCAAATTGTTATAAAATTTATTGAGTTGCAAAGCTACATCGTCATTTTCTTTTGGTTTTTCTGACATTCCAACACTTCGACGATGTTTAGTAAGAGTCTCATCATTTAATTGTTGTTTTGGTTTTCGTCCTCTTGTGCTAACATGAACTTCACAATCAATACTTGATGTCTCAGACAAAGCTTTCTCTGACTTTTTTAACTAAAAATAAGAAAATTGAATTTCTCTTAAAGTCTAAAAAATTACTTAAGACCAGGTTAATACTAAAAATAAACAGAATTTTTGTAATAGTTCAGTTTATGCCTAACCGTCGTTCTCCCAAAAATTCTCTCCAGAATTAAATTTCCCCCAGAATTTCTCCTGAAATTCTCTCCAGAATTTCTCCCAAATTTTCAACAAACAAAAGAGGATAAAAAAAATTTTTTATTTAATTTTCACAAGCATAAAAAGTAACATGATGTCACCAAATCGTTTCCGTCACATAATGGAAGGAAAAAAGCTGTGAAAGTTTATATCCTGTCCAGTCTAATGCCTTGTTGATCTACACATCCATAACGGGTTATTTTTGTAAAAACAAAACTCAACTCGAAATAAATTTTAGAAAGAAAAAAAGGAAGAGAATGGCCAAGCCCGTATCCAGGGGGTAGAGGGGGAATTCCCCACCCCCGAAATGGGCAAAGGATTTTAACGCCTTCGGCGCCAAAAATTTGGCGCAGAAAAATTTTCCCCCCTTGCCCCCCGAAAAAAATCATGGCTACGGGCCTGAGAAGAGCACAATCAAGGGAAGGAAATAAAATTGTAAAAAAAAATTAACCACAAGGGAAGGGCGCAATCTGATCATTTAATAATCCCTAAATTCTCGCCAAATTTTTCAAAAAAATTAAAATAATATAACCTTTTTCTTAAAAAGCTCCTCCACTTGAACACAAATTCTTTGCATACAAAGTTTGCCCTTATTTTGTGATTGCATACAAACAACACATTTACCACAATCCTCATCCCTAAAACAACCAATACAATTTTCACACCTCAATTCTGGATTTTCCTCTTGAATTTTTTGTTGTTTTAAAATTGTTGGAGGAATTAATTGAATTGGAGCTGGGGAAGATGTAGGAGGTTTAATTACATCAATAATTGTTATTGGTGGAAGAAGAGGCTTTTGGTGGTCATTTTTTGGAATATTTGATGAAGAAATATTTGAAGAAGGCTCTTCTTTGATTTTTATTGCCAGTAAAGAATTGCTGATCTCTTTTGGTTCGATATTGGTAATTTCAACTTTTACTTTGGCTAATGCTGAAATTTTTGGGAAATTTGAAATTACTTTGAAGTTTTGAAATTACTCAAGTTCCCGTGCCCAACTAATCGACAAATCACTACATCAAAAATAATCGTTCCAGAAACGGGGAAAAGTGATCAAGTAAATTGGTATACTCCATATACGATCATGAGACTTTTTAAAAGCATTTTTGTGGAAATTTGATAAGAATTATTTATTAGGTAATAACCAGTATTTTTGTGAATAAAAAATACAAAAAAAACTCATAAACATCCTATTCTACTTTCAAAAAAATTCCAAAAAGAAAACCCGGTAATACTTTAATTTGGACCCCCACATTCTCATAATTTCCTGTTTCCCTTTGTGGCATCTGCTTTCTTTTCATGGCAAATCATAAATCATTCGAGAGAGCTCTTCGATATTATTCACTTAACAAAGGAAAATGCCTGGGGTGTCCGTGGGACTTCGGGAAGAAATTTGGTAGACAGATAGATCATACCAAATTTCATCCCGAAGTTCCACCAACACTACAGGCACTTTCCTTTGTCATTATGAAGAGCAGGGTCGAATGGCTTATGATAAATTTCAGATTAAGCAAAAAAGCTCACATGACCAGGGAAACAGGAAAAATAGGAATAACTAAAAATATTTTAAAAAATACTTGAATTTGCCAAGCTTGGACTTTTTGCCAATGTTCGAACAGTTGATTCCTCTTTTTTGATAATCTTTGTAGGTTTAATTTCTAAAAGAATAACAAAATATTTTTATTTTAAAATTGAAAAATTTAAACCAATTTTTGATTTTTTGTTGCTTTCTTGTTCCTCCGTCGATTCTTTTCTCTTTTTCGTAGTTTTGACATTTTCTTTTTTATAAACAATTTCATTTCCTTTTTTCTTGCAAGAACGACAAGCAAATTTTTCAATTTTCTCAACATCCTTTTTCTTTATACCAACACATTTTGTATGATACCAAATTGAACAATAATCACAACAAATCATCAAAGTTGAATAATCCCTTTTTTGAGAAAAATATTTAGAATAGTTAAGCGTCATTATAAGATAGACCCAGGATTTTGAGGATACCTCAATATAGGATACCCTCAAAAACTTCGAAAAATCTGATTGGACACTGACATGTTTAGGGGAGACAGTTGATTCCTTTCCTAACAAGGAGAGGTTGCGAGGTGTCCGAAAAACCAGATCAAAAAACGGCCAGATCTTGGCCAGATCAAAAAACGGGCAAAAACGGCAAAAATCCTTGCTAGAAAGGGCACATTCTCTATCGAATAAGCCCGGTCTCGGCCGTTTTTAGCTCGGACACCTCGCAACCTCTCCTTGTAAGCAACTATTAGAAAGCCTCTCAGTCTGAGATACTTTCCTTAAGGATTTTGTTTGGATATAGGGTAAGGAAGCCTCCCCAGCAATAGCATTCCAACCTATTTAAGGTACACCTCCCTGCAAGAGAAAAAAATTTCAGTCCGACGGTGTATCTAATAACAAGTCTCGACTTAAGTAAAATTAAAGAAAAATACCTTGAATCACAAATACAATGCTTTTCTTCTACTTCTTCATCGTCAGTATCCTCTTCATCGTCGTCAATAAAATCATCTTCGTTTTTAGGCTTTCCTTTTCGTGAAGTCTTCAAGTCAGCCATCACAAATAAACTTTAAAAAAATATATGAAATTATTTAACGAAGAAACAAAAGAAAATAAAAAATTTAATTTTCAACTAAAAAGTTAGAGAATAAGAATTAATTATGTCTAACTTTAATTTCCATTTTTTCTCTTTTTCTCTAACTTTCTTTTTCTCTTTTACTCTAATTACAATTTGTCAACTATAAAATATCAAAAGTCAAAATAATACATAACGAGGTTTTGCCTGTTTCGTCATTTGCTTTTTAAGATTAGTTTCTTTTGCAGATTCGGGAAATTTTCTGAAATTTTATTTTAGAATTTTTGGAATTTTACAAAAATGAAGAAACAAATTTCAAAGAAAAAATTAAAACAAACTTCACAACAAAATTGTTCAATTATTCGAAAACGTTTAAATATTGAAGTGCTTGACGAAACAATGTTTTTTGAAGAGGCTGATATTCCAAATTGTAAACATGGTAAGCCTTTTAACTTTAAATTTAAAAAAATATTTTTTTCTTTTTTCAAGGCCCTTGTTTATTATTTTCTAATTCTTTGGATGAAAAATGGTTTTCCTGTGCTATTTATCGTTCGTCTAAATTGTGTGGATTTAAAGTGAATTTATCTAAAGATGGAACTCTGCTACAAAATAAGAAAATAAATAGACCGAAGATTCAAACTTTGCCAATTGAAGAATATGGAAGTGTGAGACAAAGGTTTTTTTTTTTAATTTAAATTTACAGTACAGACGGACTTCTTTATAAGATACCCCCAATATTATATAACCCCTGTTTAAGAGATGATTTTTTAAATTTTGATCAGTCATTATTGGTGGAGCTGGCTAACAATGAGCAATACATTCTATTTAATATACATCTCATTATAAGTTACCTTCTCTATAGGATACACCCGTTATTAGAGACATCTTTAAGAGAATTTATAATAATGGTTGGCCACTGTTGAGAGGATATGTATAAGCGACACCCTCTATTAAGATACACCTCATTACAGGCCCGTAACCAGGATTTTTTTTCGGGGGGGGGGGGGGGGGGGGGAATTTTTTGCGCCAAAATTTTGGCGCCGAAGGCGCCAAAATTTTGATTTTCAGCGCCGCAGGCGAAAATTTTTTGAATTTTGGACCTTAAAAAGCCAGATTTCTTCCTTTTTTAGCGCCGCAGGCAAAAATTTTTTAAATTTCAGAGGCCGTAGGCCAAAAAAATTCACTTTTTTTGCCCCAGCCCTTCCCCAAATTTTTTCCTTTTTCCCATTTCGGGGGGGGGGGGGGGGGGGGGGGGGAATTCCCCCCCTCACCCCCCCCTGGTTACGGGCCTGCCTCATTATATGAGACAATTTTTTTAAGTCTCTAATAATGAGATTAATAATTTATTTTTAAAGATTTGATGAATTAACTAAAATTGGCACAAATCCATTTTGGTGTAAACAATGTTTTAATTTTGTTTCGAATGAACATGAACACAAATTAGACGAAAATTGTTTTGATAGTTGGCCTTCTCCATTTCAAATAATTGATGCTATAAAGGACAATTCTGGAGAAGCAGTTTGGTTTTTTTAAAGTTAAATAATTAGAGGTTTAATGAATTTTTTGAAACTTTATTGGGGTATCTTCAGAAATTTTTTTGATAGGAGGTGGGCTTTTTTGCTAGGAAAAAATTTATAAAAACGATTTTTATTTTATTAAACCCGTACATTTATTTAAAAAATAGATTTTCATTTTACATGAATTCTTCCCTAAAATTTTAACTGTTCCCTAAAATAATTTTTATTAGCATTCAGATTTTCAAAAATGATACACCCTTGTACGACCTTAATAAAGACCGAAAATATTTTTTTCTTAATAGAAAAAACTTTTTTTTTACTCAAATTTTTTTAAATTGAGTTCCACTAAATTAAAAAAATCTGGTAACCCTCTCTAATTGCAAGTAAATTTGAAATAATTTTAACTTAATTTTAAAGCAATTTTGGTTTACAGAAAATGTTCTTTCCTTAATTTCCAATTTAATCAAAGAAAATTCAATTAATTCAATTCTTTGTGTTGGCACTCCAATACTTTTTGAGTGGCTTAAAAATCAAAATTTACAAAATTTGTTTCTATTGGATTTTGATGATAGATTGGTTTGTTTGTTTTAGTTAGAAAATATTTTTTTTGGTTCTGGTTTAGGACAGTTAGTCCACGCGGATGTCTCTGTAATATCTTCTTCGTTAAGGGTGTTTATTTGATTTTTTCCGGGGTTTTGTGTTTGCTTGGAGTTTCCTAGCATCTTTTTTATGTTTGGGATTTATGACTATGATGTCATGACAACTTGCTAATTTATTGGTATTAGTTTCGAAATTTTCTGAAATTTAGAAATTTTGGTAAATTGGCCACCTGTGCCGAACATTAAAAAAAAGAAAAGCTAGAGAATTAGTAAAATCTTTAAGATATCTTCAAAGAAATATTCTTGTCCTAAACCAGAACCTTTTATCCACATTTTCAGTCAAAATTTTATTTTCCAAAAGAATTTGCTCGTTTTTCAATGTTAAATTGTTATTTTTATTTAAACGAAGGAAAAGAAAATTTAATTAAATTTTTTGAAAAATGTGATGAACATTTACTATTTATTTGTGATCCTCCTTTTGGTATTCAAATAACTCCATTAATTCGAACAATAAATAAATTGGAATTAATTTTTAAAGAAATAAAAAGGTTTTTTAATTAATTAAAGGTTAGGCGACATTTGCGGACAATATTTGCGGACAAAATTAAAATTTATTGAAATTGGACAAAAACGGCATTGGGTCTTGTCCGTTATTATGTCCGAAATATTTTAGTTATAGTTATACTCTTCATAAAATAAAAAAGTTTAGTGGGTGTCCGCAAATGTCGCTTTACCATTTTATAGTTAAAATTTAATTTTTTTCTTTCAGTTCATCCTTCAACAAAATATTGTTTTTGCCTTACTTCGCTGAGAAATATTTAAATAATACAAATATGTCAATGGTGGATTATAAAGTATTTTTTAATTATTAAAATTTTTTACAAAAATATAGTCGAAGCTCTCCAGTGATGGGTGTTCTGTGACTTTTTTTTAAATTCCTGGCTCCAGAAGTTACTGGAACCGGAACTAGCTCACATAGCTATATACCCAGCAATGAAGCTTGCCTCAAGGGAGAGCTTAAGCTTAACTCAAACTTAACAACCTCAAGCTCGTCTCAAGCTTGCCTCACTCTCCTCACTCTTAACCTCAACCTCGCCTTTCCCTTGTTCAACTCGGTCCCAATGGGTGACGTTATAGAGAGCTTTGACTGTTCATTAATTTTCTATTTCCATAATAAAATTTAATTTTCAAATAGGTAACATATACAAATCACAAAGAATTTTCAAAATTAAATAAATCGACAGTTCGAATATTTACAAATATTTCAAATAAATTATTTAAATTGCCAAAAGAAGAAGGTTATCATTTTTGTGAAATTTGTCAACGTTTTGTTTGTAAAGAAAATAAACATTGCTTCAAATGTGGATATTGCACATCTTTGGTTAGTTGTATTTTTTATTTTTAAATTAAAAATTAGGGATGGTCAACGGGTATAAATAGACCTTATTTTAACACTAATTGTAAGTACACTTCTATTTAAGAGAGTTTGTTTTTATAATTCGGTTGGTTATTGGAGGGGGGGGGGGGGTAATTACCAGCATGGTGCCCTCCCACTCTCCACCTTTTCATTCTTTTTCCTTCCTTACTCTTTTTTCACTTTATTCCCCGGTGACAGATTCAAGATAGGGGAGCTTCCCAGACGATACCCTCTATTCAACATACAGCTCATTATAAATGACGATTTTTAACGCAATGGGTGTATCTATGTGCGAGGTCCGACTGCCATATCCGCTAGGTATCCGTTCAGTAGTCTTTGTGATAGTCGGATATTTACTTATCCGGATATTGTGATAAGCGGATAGGCTGTCAAAATCAAATTTAAAAATTATTTTTAATTTTTTATAGGATGGAGGCTTATACAAACATTGTAATTATTGCAGCAAATGTGTAAAAAGAAAATATATTCATTGCAAAAAGTGTTTTAAATGTCATTTAAAAGAACGTTGTTGTATTTTTAAAAATGATTAAATAAAACTGTTAATCAAATGAGTGCAAACCCTCTTTATATAATGGATTGATTCCTCCGTTTTCAATTCGAGGCAGTCAACCAATAAACCAAAATAATGATTTACTAAAGAAATCATCAGCCAAAAAATTTTTTATTGGATTTCAATCAAACTACCTAACTACAATTTCTTCAACAATAAATACAACAGATATGACGACATTTATTGAAAATATTTGGAACGTTTCAATAACTTTATTACATTTACTTCACCAACAATAATTTCTGGTACAAATGGAACAACAACAACAAATAAAGGATTTCTTTTTAATTGTTGGGGGTATTATTGTTGGAGTTATTATTTTTAAGTTTTTTTTTAAATTAAATATACCTATTTTGATAATTTTAAGGGTTTAAATTTTATTAGTTCTCATCACATTTTTAAATTATACATAATTATCCCAAAAATTATATACTGGAAATTGGATAAGGAAAAAACTCTTATTTTCTTTTAAATTATTTAATTTAAATTTTTATTACCATTTAGAGCTCCTTTGTTTTTTAGTGCAGAGATTGCAAATACTCCAACTGCGGAAGTGAAGCTATAACCGCTTTTTTTCTGTGTAAGACTAAATACATTTATTTATGAATTTAAATTTAAAAAAAATCGGGAGAAGATTTTGATGTTGTGGAAGGTGTGCCTGCAAAATTAAAAGCAGCTAGAAGGGGAAAAAGATTTAAAATTCGTGTACCAGAAATAATGAGAGCTGGTATTGAAGCTTTGCCAGCCAAAAATAAAAAAAAATTTTTATTTTATTTATGTCAATAATTTTTTCGATGATTTGAATATTTTATTCCCAGAATCAGAATGATTTAATTAATTATTTTTTGTTTCAAAATATTTAGATTTAAATAAAAATGTATTTTAAAACACTTAAGAATAAATATTTTGAAACAAAAAATAATTAATTAAATCATTCTGATTCTGGGAATAAAATATTCAAATCATCGAAAAAATTATTGACATAAATAAAATAAAGATTTTTTTTATTTTTGGCTGGCAAAGCTTCAATACCAGCTCTCATTATTTCTGGTACACGAATTTTAAATCTTTTTCCCCTTCTAGCTGCTTTTAATTTTGCAGGCACACCTTCCACAACATCAAAATCTTCTCCCGATTTTTTTTAAATTTAAATTCATAAATAAATGTATTTAGTCTTACACAGAAAAAAAGCGGTTATAGCTTCACTTCCGCAGTTGGAGTATTTGCAATCTCTGCACTAAAAAACAAAGGAGCTCTAAATGGTAATAAAAATTTAAATTAAATAATTTAAAAGAAAATAAGAGTTTTTTCCTTATCCAATTTCCAGTATATAATTTTTGGGATAATTATGTATAATTTAAAAATGTGATGAGAACTAATAAAATTTAAACCCTTAAAATTATCAAAATAGGTATATTTAATTTAAAAAAAAACTTAAAAATAATAACTCCAACAATAATACCCCCAACAATTAAAAAGAAATCCTTTATTTGTTGTTGTTGTTCCATTTGTACCAGAAATTATTGTTGGTGAAGTAAATGTAATAAAGTTATTGAAACGTTCCAAATATTTTCAATAAATGTCGTCATATCTGTTGTATTTATTGTTGAAGAAATTGTAGTTAGGTAGTTTGATTGAAATCCAATAAAAAATTTTTTGGCTGATGATTTCTTTAGTAAATCATTATTTTGGTTTATTGGTTGACTGCCTCGAATCGGTAACGGATGAAACAATCCATTATATAATGGGTTGCACTTATTTGATTAACAGTTTTATTTGATTATGTTCCCAAATTTTTACGAGTATTTAAAAATATTTAAATAAAATTAAATTCTAAAATCCAACATTGTGTCCTTTCATTTTATTAAGATTATGATGACGAGTACTTGTATCGGCAGAAAATAAGAAGAAAATAATTTTTTAATTTCAAAATCCTCTCTCGTAACATTAACAAATCCAATAAATATCTAAAACGAGAATCTAGTTTTTAGATACCCACATCTCTGTCTCATGAATTGAGTTAACACAAGCAAAAAACTTATTCTTTAAAGTCACAAGTCAGTACCCAAACAAGACCAAATTTAATTTTTAAGCCTCGCCACTAGGGCAAAGCGATTCCAAAATTTATCCAAGCCGCCTCTTGATAGGGCAGGATACAATTAGTACCTTAAACTTGGGTAATTAAACCGAAGACTTCACCAAAAGCAAAATATACAAGTAAAGTAAAAAAAATAAATTTCAGACGCTGCATAAAATAAGAACAATTTTAATGGAAAGTGTAAGAGTGTGAAACAAATACTACACACCCTCATTTATTTTCATTTCTCTGCCTGACTAAGTTCTCTTTAGTTTTTCTCTTTCAAATACGAAAATGCCCATGTGCAGAAAAATAACGAGATCTCTACACTGTGGTGATGTTCAAAATGGTCAGGAAGGGGAAATATTTAAATTTGTCACAAATTTGGCAAACAAATTAGTCAAAATATAACTCACGTTTTAAAATCGGGATTTTTACAATAAGCATGAATAAAGGCCAACGAGTCTTTTCGGAAATAACAGACTTAAAATTGTGAAAATTGTGGATCTTGTTCAAATTTATCATAGATTTCGAGGATTGGGTTAAACTTCTCATGATCTTACTCAAGGAAAAAAATGAAAAATAAGGTCGCTTAATTACCCTCCGCATAAAATAATCATCTAATTTTAATCCTACATACATATTTTTGAGAAAATTAAAAAATAACGAGATCTCTGCACTGTGGTGATGCCCATTATATTTACGGATGCCTATTGCTGTCTTTATTTTTCAACATTTTAAATATAGTCTATTGTTAATTGTGTAATAAATGGATTATGTTAATGGCCGTTTATGTGTCATTGTTTATAAATCAAAAGTTGTTTAGAAGCATTTTCATCGAAAACAAAGTTTTTGCCGCCTTTTGGCCTATTAAGAGACGATTATCTCATCTTTGATCTTTTCTCCTTTTCACATTTTCTATTACTATACTTATTTGCCTTTTTTTTTACTGAAATGATTTTCAGAATTTTTAATTGAGCCCTAATTTTCTCTATTTGCAATAATTTTCAGAATTATTTGAAAAATTCAAGAAAAAGCCTTACAAAATGAAAATCCATCTAATTGTTCCTTTAATTTCCGTCTTTGCAAGTGGCCTACTCGTTTACGCGTTAGAACGTTGCGATGATAAACACGGCGGATATTGCATTGGAGGTCGGAGTTGTTGTAGGCACGGCCCACCCCTATGTTGTAGGCATGAACACGTCAATTGCATTCCGCGTATCGGCCTTAATTATAACAATACTAAATGTGAAAGATTATACTGCCAGGAAGGAGAAGTTTGCATGACAAAGTGGGAAGGAAAGAGCAAATGGTGGGAAGGAAAAAGCAAATGTGTGCCAAAGGTTTAAAAAAGAAATTTTAAAAGAGTCAAAGTAGCATTTAAGTAACTCTCGAAATTTTCCAGATACTTTTTCGTTACTATCTACAAGCGGTCCTACAATAAAACTGAACTAGACTAGCTATTTCTCTTTCAGCTAGACGGCTGGGAGTGAACCAGCATAGTCAGCATATATTTTCACACCTATCGAGTTGACTTTTTAATGGGGGATCTGACCAGGTCTACCCAGTTGAGAAAAAGAGAGCTTATCGAAGACCTTCGAACGATATAAGATTTATTCTGACATGAGTGTATTAATTATTAAAAGAAATAAAGCCTATCAAAATTAAAAAAAAAGAAAAATGGGTATAACACAAAAGCACCTATTTTTAATTCAAATTTTCTAATTATTGAAACCATACATATTTAGGATGTTGAAGTTTGCAATGATTATTTAAAATTCGAGGAGACAGCAAAATGCGGAGACTTTGCCTATCTAGTTAACCATGGCTTTAAATATTGTAATAAATTTTACCAATATTATGATTCTTTTAATGAACATGGAAAAGATTTCATTAGATGTGTTAGCTCATGTCTCGTGGAAAAATTGCGAATAAACATTGAGGTTAGAAAAAGTTTTTGACAGGCAATAAACGGATTTTTAAAATTCAGCGGTCTTGGCTCTAGCTCCTCATGATATTTAGCTTACTATAGTTTACAGGGTAAACCTCGAATTCGACTTGGACGAAATCGAGTCCGGGGTTCGAAATAAACATATTCTAAGCTCAGATTCGTGATCAGCATGGTCGATCACCTAAGTAAAATTATTTTCAGAAAAAATAGCAATTTTTAAGACGTTTTTAAGGTGTCTCACCAATTCTTCACTAGTACCGTTTATAGAGTTCCTGAATTATACAATCAAATCTCATTTAAGATATAAAATTGAGTAGTATCGCCCCCTCCCTTCTCCTCTTCCCTGCTACTTAGTTATTTAGTAATTAAGATGAAGTTGCATTTTTTAACTAATTATGGAGTTTATATTTTATTTTGGGAGCTTGTTAGTATTGAAACACTATAAGTTAACATTGAAGAAATAAAAAACATAGTTTGTCCTTAAAATATTTTTTTAAAGAAATACAAAGAGAATTGCAACTCCCTCCGTACTTTTGCTTTCGATTCTTATACTTCTTGCTACCTAAAATGTAATTTTACAAAATTCAATGTCTGGTTCAACAATGCCGACGTTTTTGTTAAAGTCGTCAACTTTAATGATCTTTTTTCTGCTGAGACTTTCCGACAGATAAAAAACATAATTTTGGGGGAAATTATGGATGAATTCAATATTTTAACTCAATCTTTTAACACAATTTTTAACTCAAAACCAAACAACAAAGTTCAAATGTGCGTTTTACTTTAATTATTTGGACAAGTCAAAGAAGGAAATAAATCTGGCGGAGAGCGTTTCTCACACGTTTTGGAGAAAATTTTTAAATAATTGTTTAATTGTTTTTGATTATGTTATCTCAAAAAATCTCTTTTTGAGGATAAACTTTTGAAAAGATAATATTTAATTAAAATTTTGTGTCTTGAGGAATTGTAATAGAAAAGAAGGCACTTTACCGTTATTTGACCGCAAACTGAGTACCAGCCGAATTTGAACAACTATAAATTTAAGAAGACTGATCCAGTACAAATGAATTTTATATCGTTCGAAAGCCCTCGATAAGCTTTATCTTTTTTCCACTTGATTGGTCAGGTCTGATCACCAATTAAAAAGGTATAACCCGATATACTATTTCGGATTAAAAGGAAAAGAATTAATTAATTTGGAAAATACTCGCTGTATCTTTTTTCCAGATGGATGGATCAAGCCTGATCACTCGTTAAAAAATTATACTTTGATAAATGTGAAAAATCTGTTTTGCTCTATATAATTCACAAAAAATTATGTAATTTTTGGTTTTAAAAAAATTATTCAAAAATCCTTTTTAGTAAATTCCAAAGAAATTTTAGTCAATTCCAAAGAATTTCCAGTTTTTAAAGAAAAGTAATTGAAGAAAAATAATTATTAACATATTTCTTTCTTTATTTGTTCCATTCTTTTAAATTCCAAATAAAAACTTGATATTTAATGCACTCTAACCGGACTTTATTTTTACGTGAAAGAAATTTTCGACAACAATTTTTAGAAGAAGAAATTAAAATTCTTAAACATTTTTTGTTCATGTAGGTTAAATATATTTTTATAGTTACAGTCGAACCTCACTTTTAAGTACTCCTTTTGGGGCTGAAAACCCTTAACCTTATAACGAGATGTATTTAAATAGAGGATATCGCTTAGGCTGTTCATTAAACCAATAACCAAACAAATTAAATACGTCTCTTAAATAGAGGTGTATGTAATATCGAATGTATTTTATAGAGATTTTATAGAGATAGTATCTTATAACGAGGTGTATATTAAATAGAGGGTATTGCTTGGCCTGATCCCCCACCCAATGACCTACGAAATTTTTAAACAACGTCTCTTAAATAGAGGTATATCTAGTATTGGATGTGTCTTATAGAGAGGGTACCTATAATTAGATGTATCTTAAAAAGAGGGTATAGCTTGGCCAGCTTCCCCACCCAATGGCCTACGAAATTTTTCAACAACGTCTCTTAAGTAAAGGTGTATCCGGTATTTGGGTTATCTAAAAAATGAGGTTCGACTGTACACCTGCATAAAAAATATTTCAAATCTTTTTCTAGATCAATCTGTTTTGCTTTAATTTCACTTTTGACTATTGCTCTTCTAATTCCTTTATTATTTAATTATATCCAAAATTTAAATATTTATTTAAAAGAAAAATCTGACAAATGTTTTGATAAAATTACTCAACTTTATAATAATTTAAGTTTTGTTGTTGGTGAATTTAATTGTGGAGGGGAATTTGGAGAAAAACGTTCTGTTAGGCATGTTAATGCTATGACAAAAATAAGATTGAAACAGGCGATTAAAAGGAGAAGTAAAAATTAAAATAATTTAATCAGACTTCAATATAAGATAACCCTTGGGAGTGAAAAAATGACCTTATAACAAAGTGTATCTTAAATAGAGAGATGGAGCTTGGAGCTTAATTGAAGCTTCCCCAGCCCGATGTCCATCAAAAATTTAAAGAAAAATAAATAGAGGTAGCGAATCGTACTCCCTAGGTGGCCTAAAAAGATGGTCTCTTATAGCGAGGTGTGTCTTAAATCAAGGGTATTGCTTTGGCAATCCCCCAGCCCGATGTCCATCCAAAATTAAAAAAAACGTCTTTTATATAGAGGTTATCTAATATTGGGAGTATCTTATAGTGTGGTCTGATTATACAAAAATATGTAAATATAAAAAAATTTTTTAAAGGAAAAACTCGTTACTTTCGAAGGAAATTAGCAGAAGTTTCGGCTTTATTAAATTCTTTTGAATTAACAAATGATGAACAGGGAGGATTAAACGGGGCTACAAACAGTAGATTGTATAAAGAAATGTCAAAGGAAAACATGACAAATTCTGATGAGTCTTTTGAAGTAAATTTTAATTGAACCTCACTATACATAAAAGCACCCAGAGACCTTCTTTTAAAGTTTGGTTGACCACTGAATGGGAGGAGCTGTATAGGCAATACCCCCTATATGTTGTTATAAGATACCTCTATCTGTAAGAAACATCCAGCATGGGATATACTTCATTCTAAGATGGTTATCTATGGCCACTGGCTATCTAAGTGGTACCTCCTATTTATGGCACCCCTCATTGTAAGATAAAAATTTTCAGTCCCAAAAAGGGGTATCCAAAAGTGAGGGTTAATTACTCAATAATTTTTATTAGGAGGAAGAGATAATGAATTCATCTTTTGTAATAAATCAACAGAAAAAAGCACACGATAAGTTGTTCAAAAAGTATCAATTAAATTAAAAAAAATATTTTTTAAAGAAATCCAAATAAATGTCAATCACGTTCCTGTTCAATAGGAAAACCTGGACCTCCCGGTTTAGACGGAATTGACGGAAAACCAGGAAAAGATGGGCAGCCAGGCCGAAATGGATTTAATGGGGAAGATTCCCCAACAATTTTAGATTTTTGTTTTCAATGTTCTCCAGGCTTAAGTGGACGTTTGGGTCCACAAGGGTTCAAGAAACAAAAATTTTCCTTTGAAAAAATTTTTTTCAAGACCAAAGGGAATTAAAGGAAATCCAGGAAGGAGGGGAGATGATGGAATACCTGGAGTAAAAGGAAAGCCAGGCAAAGAAGGTCCTGTGGGTCCGAAAGGCGATATGGGGCAAAAAGGGAAAGTTGGCAGAATTTTAGGTGAATTTTTTTGTTGGGAAATAATTAAAAAATTTTTTTTGAGAATTACGAGGACCTCCAGGATTGAAAGGAATGCCTGGTTAATTTAAAATTATTCAAAATTTGAATATAAATTAAAGGAAAATGTGGACCTCCCGGTCCTGTAGGTGATCCTGGAAAGAGAGGACGTAATGGAATGGAAGGTAAAACTGGAATTGATGGAAAACAGGGAAATCAAGTAAAGAAAAATTATTTTTTAGAGAAATTATTTTTGTGAATTTTTAGGGAATTCCAGGTGGATGTGGACATTGTCCTAAACCTATTATAGTGACGAATAAGTTGATTGATAATTAATATATTAATTTTATTTTTGTTAATAAACTCTTTAATTTTAAGTAAAATTTAATAGAGGTTAAAAATTAAAAAAGTGTTTAAGATAAGAGAGGAAAATTAGAAGCAAGGGTCGATCGGAAATGACGAAGGTGCCGGAAATAGGAACTATCAGAACACAAAAGTAGGAAATCTCGTAGATTTTTGGAAGTCGGAAATTCCGACAGACAACTGGTCAGAATTTACCTATTTTTAAATAGGTAAATTGTTTTGATTGAATTTTAATTCAAATTCTTGCAAGAAAAACTTTTACTCTCACATCAATAAAATCTATCAAGTTTTATAAAATAACTGAGGTAATTTAAGTATAATAAGAACCGGGAGTATTTTTTTTAGAGATTGGACTTTAATAATAAATTGACAATATCAATTATTAGGGTAGCACCCCATCCCCCGACGAATTCTTAGGCAAAAACCCGACCCGAACCCCGGAGGCTCTACCCCGAAACCCGACACTCCTGCCTCCGAAGGCTTGGGAGCTACCCTAATCAATCACAATAATTTGATTGAGATTTTGTCTCAGTCCAATCCCTCTATTTCATTTTATTAAACAAAAATATTTTTAAAAATCTCCGAACTTATTTTTAAAAAAATAAAATTTTTCTACTGGCACTTTTGAATTTTCACTTACAAAAAAAGTCTCTCTTCAATCTATATCAAAAAGTAATTGTTCAGAAACTCTATCAAAATTAGCAAATTTAAATAAACGCATAATTTGATAAGATTCTAATGTTGCTGAGGCTAATAAAAAAAATTTTTTTAATTAAAAAAAATTCCCTACCAGCAGAAACAATTCCAGAAATTAATAAAATAACATTTCCAAAACGTTCAGCTGCCGATTTATGCCCAATAGAACGATAAAATTGAAAGAGAGCAGCAATTACTTTATTTTTCCATTCTAAAGCAATTTTTCTAGATTCGTCACTGATAAATGAAGTTGCTTCTTCTAAAAAATTTTTTTAATTATTGGTGGATTTGTTTTGTTTTCTGGTGGTTTTGGGAGTAAGATGTAATCGGTGTCGTTTCCCTCATGGTTCAGATTTTTCAGTTAAACTAGGGAAGGACTCACGTTCGACTCACATGAGGACTCACATGAGGCGAATGATACTTGTTTCAAAAAAAGGGCGAGAAAAAAGTTTTGACTGTTCATAGTTGCTCTTTAAACAAGCGGCTTTGGACCTTTTTTTAGATTAGGAGTGTGTCGATCAGATTCTAAAAAGCAAAAGACGAAACACCAAAAAGGCGAAATTAGACTGGCACTTCCTTGCTGTATATGTGGGAAACCCGAAAAGGCATAGGACATGGAAGAGACCCTTATACCTTCCTTCTCGTCAGTCCCTAAAAGAAACAGAAAGAATTTTCCCTATAGTTTAATGGACTTGTATGTGTAATTTTTTCTAATTTTGCCGTCTAATTTTTTAAACCCTCTTTTATTCAAAAAAAACCCCCCAAACCTTTTTGTGTATGATTTCCACAGCTAAAAAGCAAAAGTATTTTTAACGTAACCAATTCTTCAGGTGTTAATTGTAATCTTCTTAAAGGAATAACTAAACCATCAATACATCTATCAGTCATTTGTTTATATAATTTTTCTTGTCTCCATTTTCTGTCTTCTGTCACCAATGTCTTTAAAAATTGATTTTGAAAAAAAAATTAAAAAAAACCTTGCTTTCATCAGGCAAAACATTAACACTTCTTGGCATACAAGTACCATTAGAAATTAGCCAAACATCATCGAGACCAATTTGGGCAGTAAAATATCCATATTCTATCACATTACAAGGCATAGCAAATCTAGGAAAAAATTTTGAATTTTAAAAATATTTCCATTAAATTTGGCTCTGTAGGGAAAAAATCCACAAAAAATTGGACATAGTAAACGGCCAAGCTTTACATGATGGCCAAAAAACAAAATTAATGATCACAGTTCGGGTGGATTTTTGAGAGTTTTTAAAAATTATTTCTAAAATTAAATTCATAATAATATCTAAGGTCATATCCAAAAAATTTTCAAGAGGGGAAGGATAGCAAAAATTTTTGAAAAGAATAAATGGAAATGACTTCGAATTTCAGATGGTCAGGAAGCTAGAATTTTTTAATTTTAGTCGTAAGTAAAGAATATCATTTTACGATAACTAGTCTTTTTGTAGTTTTTCCCATTTGGACGAGGGGGCCATTACCCTGACAAACTTTTGATAGTATACAGTACTGCACAAAAGTATAAGAACACTTTTAAAAAGCTTATAACTTGGGACATACTTGACCAAATTGTACCAAATTTTGTATAAATATGTGGATTAGAAAGAGAAATACGATTAAATAATTAAAATTTTAAATTTTTTAAAATATCTCTCCAAAACTTAAAATTATTAAAATTGCGTGATTTTTTTACTGCACAAAAGTATAAGAACACTTCACAAAAAAGATATTTTCAAGATTAGGAAAAATTTACAAAAATTCTAGCAAAGATACATAATGATATTATGAAAAAATAAAAAAGAACTAGACCCATATCTTTACCCGGAGTCGAGATCCTGAGACCCCGAAAATCAACGTAAAACAGGGGTAAGGCTCTTTTAAAAATATTTTCGACCCTTATGGATTACTGTAAATTTTTATTTTGGGCTCATTCGAAAGCCCTTGAAATTTGCTACAAGATAGCAACAATCTTATTTTCTAGAAAAAATTTTAAAGAGAGAAGCAAGCATTAAACTTCTGATGCTGAAAAAAACGCCTTAATGCCCCATAAAATTCCCCTTAAGTTCGCTTTCGAAGTTTGAATGTATGTACCTCTCTCTAAAATTTTTTCTCAAAAATAAGATTGTTGCTATCTTGTAGCAAATTTCAAGGGCTTTCGAATGAGCCCAAAAAAAAATTGAAAATAATCCGTAAGGGGTCGAAAAATTTTTTAAAAGAGCCTTACCCCTGTTTTACGTTGATTTTCGGGGTCTCAGGATCTCGACTCCGGGTAAAGATATGGGTCTAGTTCTTTTTTATTTTTTCATAATATCATTATGTATCTTTGCTAGAATTTTTGTAAATTTTTCCTAATCTTGGAAATATCTTTTTTGTGAAGTGTTCTTATACTTTTGTGCAGTAAAAAAATCACGCAATTTTAATAATTTTAAGTTTTGGAGAGATATTTTAAAAAATTTAAAATTTTAATTATTTAATCGTATTTCTCTTTCTAATCCACATATTTATACAAAATTTGGTACAATTTGGTCAAGTATGTCCCAAGTTATAAGCTTTTTAAAAGTGTTCTTATACTTTTGTGCAGTACTGTATTATTTTTAAAAAGATAGACAACATATAAAAATAAAAAACATTATTAAAAAAACCTTTTAAGTAAAAGCATTTTGTCAGGTAAATGAAGTGATGAAAATGCTGGGATTGTCTAAAAAAATTTAAAAAAATTTCCAAAAAATTAAAAAAAATTTCCAAACCTGTACCCATTCAAGCATTGAAAACATTTCAATTTGAGTAACATTACACAAATCCGAACACAAAACAATTTTCATTAAAGTATCGTGTTGTTGAACTACTCGAGAACCTTTACTTGCAACATCTGCCAATCTTTTTGCTTCCGTTCTAGCTCTGATTAATTCAAATTTTCTTGCCCGAATTGCTTTATCTGTAGCTGCTAAAGAAGATATTAGGTCCAAAAGATTGTTATTTCCATCAGAGATTGAAGAATATAAAATGTCGGTTTGGGGAGTTAATAAATGGTTTGTTGGAGATGGAGTGACCTAAAGAGAAAAATTATTTTTAGTTGAAAATTACGTCAGACCTTATTGTAAAATACACATTTGGGGATCAGTTATGGGCCGGATTGAGAAAAAAGTCGAATCGGGTTTCGGTATTTGATTTATAAAATTGCTTTTAAAGGCGAAAAAATTTTCTAAAAAATGAAGGGGACTCAGCCGTTCCAAAAGTCGTAAACTTTGAACCCTTATAGCTTTTCGAAATGTTGGTCAGGGGGAAAAAGCCGAAAATTGGCAAAAGGTTATCGACATGCTCTACACAATGGTGGAAAAATGTCTCCTTAATAGAATCTGGTTTCGGGACGGAAAGGCCCATCCCTATTGGGGTAGATAAGGTTCTACATATTTTATAATGGATGGCAAAGTAATAGGCTTGCTATGAGGACATTCCAGCACCCAGTAAGCAATAAAGGCCCAAGGAAAAATAATTTAAATTTTGAGGGTATCTAGTATTGAATGTACCATTATGAAAAATTTAAATAAAAAATTTACTTCGCTCCCAGAAGTTGAAGGAATTGTGGAAACACAATTATTTTGATAAAATTGTATTTGTGTTGGTCTCTTCTTTCGTCTTCCAATTAAATCCCTTCGAGGTTGTAATGCTTCCCTAGACATTCCCATATCCAAACATCTAAAAATAAATTTATTTTTTTTAATAAAAAATCAAAAAAACCTTCGAAAACGACAAGATCTACAAAGTCGTCTAGCACACACTTCTTGTTCACAAATATTCGGCTTTTTGCAAATTGTATCCTGACCATGCATTACAGCTCTATAAAAAAATGAAAAAAATTTTGGTAGATAGAGAGAAAAGCAAAGTCAAAAATACATTAAGGTCAGGGCCAAAAAACAGCCGAAAACTGGCAATAGGTTATCAACCCGCTCTACACGCTGATGCAAAAAAAAATTCAAAATTTATGGTTATAGTTCAAGATGTCTCCTTGTTAGAAGGGGTCAAGACGCTTAACTTGACGCTTAGTGCTAGAGTTTTACGAGTCCAGGTGCCCTACCGGTAGAGCTAATCATTATAAAAATTAAGAATTACTTCACCCTACTGGGAGAGCTACTGGGAGATTTTCTTTTATAAATCTCTTAAGCCTTCCACTTTCTTAGAAAATTATCACTAAAATTCTTCAAGTCACCTAATATCACCTAATAAAATAATTTTTTTCTCCTAAAATAAACAAACCTTCTAAAAAATGTTTTGCATCCAAGACAGCTTAAACAACCTAAAAATAAAATTTAAAAAAATTATTTAAAAATTAAAAACCATAGTGTTTTCCAAAAGAAAGTTCACCACAAACCAAACAGAGCCCTACCGCGTCTGAAAAAAATTTTTTTAAATAATTTCTTAAAAAAATTTCTCATACCTTTGTGTGCCATAAATACAGCAAAACGTTGCTTAGAATTAAATTTTAATTTTTTAATTTAAGATTTTCCCTATAAAAATAATTAAATTAAGTAAATTGTCAAGTTTAATGAATGGTCTTTTTTGTAAAAAAATTAAAAAAAAATTAATTTATTAAAAATAAATTGACAAATTAATTTACTTTCTCATCATTTAACATGAAAAATATCATTGTCAAACATGAAAAGAAATAATGTAAAAATGAAGAGAATAAACCCGCCAATCTATCGATTTCTTCTTTGGTTCCTTATCAGAGGGACAATTAAGAATGATGTCAACAAAATTATTAAAAAAAATTTTTTTTGTAAAATAATTTCAGGTTTATAACACATTCTGAATAGAGTTGGGGTTTTCTAGCCGGACCGACGTTAGAGTCATTTTTATTGGGCCAGCCAGACCGAGTCTTTTTCGGACCAAAATTCAATGCCCGACACGATCTTTCAGACCAGGCTGAAACGGGCCTCCAACCCTAATTCTGAATCAGGACTGCAAAATTTAAGCGGACGCGTTCCGCAATTAATTTAAAAAATCCGCAATTAAAAAATGCGGACAGTCCGCAAAAAAATATTTTTAATTAAATTTTTAAAAATTCTGAAAAAAATATTTTTTTAGTAATAAATACTAATTATTTAACAAAAAATATTTTTAAAAAATAATTTAAATTTATACTATACTTTTTTTGTAAAACAAAAAAATTAAAGCTCTAATTTTGATATGTTTTTTAAAACCCATAATTTATTTAAAATCCTCTCTCTCCTTTCATTTATTCTTCCAAAAATATTTGTATTTTATTCTTTTTATCAATCTTCTTCTCTCTCATTTTCTCAATAAATTTAATATTGGCAATACATTCTTGTTGATCCATTTGTTTAGTTAAAGTTGAAAAAGAATTGGTTAAGGCACTGTACATGTCTACCTTTAAATAATTTTTTTAAATTATTATTTTTAAATAAGGTCGGACTTCTCATTCGACAACTCTCGCATATTAAATATGAGAGAGGAAATTTGGGAAAATAAAAAAAGTCGAAAGTGATATCTCGAAAAATCTCGCATCTCTTTTAAAAACGCGAGATTTTTTGAATATAATTTTGTGTCTTGGTCTGATTACTAACAGATACATTTGATTAAAAACCTTAAAATTTGGTTGATCCACCGAGGTAATCCTTTATTTCATAAATAGGGTTGTTGGGTTCACCAAATATTCTTCAGCAACCGAAACCGAAAATCTTCAGGGTTTCGGAAGAAAAAAAAAAGTACATTATAATGACCTTAGACAATACCACAAAAAAAGGGAAAAAAACTCACAATATTTCTCATATTAATCGGTTCAATATTAAAATAATCGTCTTGAATATTTTGCCAAGTTCTTCCCCTATCTCCTCCTGGACGCATTTCATTTAATTCATCTATTTGATCTTCACGTTCCAAAGAAAATAGAGAAGCCCCAAGTTGAGGTAAATAACAATTTGAATATTTCACAATAACTCCCCATTCTTGATTACCACATTGCCCACATAACCATTTGGCACATTTTGTGAATAAATGGTCTTTCTAAAAAAGATAAGGGTTAAAAAGAATTAAAGGATTATTAGCCAGATTTTCAAAAAAATCTGAGAAAAAAATTTTCCCACCGTCGGCTTCTCTCGAATGTCAATTTTTGAACGTTTCCAAACAGTAGGATCACAAACCACAAAAGTAGAATAAGCAATAGAACGAACATGAGTGCTCTTACAAATCAGATTATTACAAGATCGACAGCTTAGTTTATAGCTAAAAAGGTTTAAAAAATATTTAAAATACATGAGAATTAATCTTGAACTCTCTAAAGTATGCAAGAATAAAGATGTTTTAAGATAACGATCTCAGATCTTCGTACAACCCTCCCAGTATGGCTCATAGTAAGGATGTGTTGGTTGGGTAGGACAAAATTTAGAGTTTGGCAGAAGTGGCAATAGAACCCCAATTTTAAGTAAAGACATGTGATGTCTGAAAATGTATGAATAGAAAAGAAATTCCAAAATAACAAAATAAAATTTACCGTCTATCATTAAGTCTTAAACGTTTCATTTCCGAAACTTTAAGTTTTCTTTCTTCAATTTTTCTTCGTTCTTCCCGTTTTGCATTAATTTGAATTTTAAGACTTGTTTCACTAGTTTCTTGTAAATCCATTAGGCAATGCATCATCTGAGATTTAAATAAAAATTATTTTGATATAAAAAGGGGGGAGGGAAAGTGCCTGAATCCTTGTAAAATCAAAATATCGACTGGGGCAAGAAGAGGGAGCAGTCTAAGCGCTACCCTCCTAATTTAATATACCAGACTTGGTAATGGACATGGATTTTGGTATCCGTATCCGGATATTTACGGCTGATACAAAGGATATCCGCATGCATTTTGAAATCTGCATCCATATCCATTACCAAGCCTGTAATATACAAGTGATTACAATCTACATTCTTTCAACCCATTAGTATATCTTATAGCGAGATTCAAAACTATTAAAAAGAAGACAAAAAACAGACCATAGCCTCCTTTTGCATATTCAAATATTCAGCCTGTTCAACTCCCGTATCTAAAGCCAACAAAATAGATACACTATTTTTCTGTCTGGCACGTCCTCTTCTTTGAATCATTGAACGTTCAGAACCAACATTATTATATTTAACAATTAAATTACAAGCAGTAATATTTACACCTTCTTCAGCAACTGATGTCACTACCAAAACTTTTACTTTTCCAGTATCAAAATCTCTAATCATTTGTTGTTGTTCTTGTGTAGATTGTCCACCGGCAGTTAAAGTTTGATTAGAACTGACCATATAACCAACATTCTATTAAAAAAATTTTTTTTTAATAAAAATATTAGGGTGGTAAGTAGGTATGAGGTTTTTAGAGTGATATTTAGAGATAGGTAGGAAAGTTTGGGGTCGTTTGTCAGGTTAAGACTTTTGGGATCGAGATTTAGCTAAGAAGGTCGGGGTTAAACGAGATCGGGGTACAACGGAACCGAACCGAATAGTCGAGGATTTTTATGTTAGTTCTTCTTTCACAACTTTCTCTACTATATTTACAACCCATTCAATATTTGAAAAAATATTTTTCTTCTCTATAAATAAGAAGTAAAACCCATTTTTTTAGAGGCGAATCAAAAATCCGCCGTTTCCTGTTGGGGGTTGTAAAAGATTTCCTTATCATTACATCTTGGACCATAAATTTGGGGCAGGTCCCCTCGATTGGCTCTTAATGGTCTCCCTAAACGGTTGTATTCGGTTGGAGGTTTTTGTTTCGCTCAAATTTTTTTTGAAAAAATTTCTTGAAAAATTTTTCAAAAAACTTGAAAATTTTTGTAGGATCCATGTTTCAAAAATTCAAAAAATTTTTTCACCTCTTTATTGTAAAAAATTGGAAGTTCAGGCACTTTTTTAAGATGATCAGCAAGTTTAGAAGCACAATTTCTAGTAGCAACAAAAATTAGACAACGAGAATCTCGATCAGATTTAAATTGTTCTCGAAGAATCTTTTAATTAAATTTAATTCAATTTATTTAAAAAAATTATTTTTAAACTAACAGAATATAATTCTTTAAGAATTTCCTTCTTCTCAAGTTGTTCAGTTTTAACACACTCATATAATTTTGAGTATACTTCTGAAAAAATACATTCAAAAAAAAATAAAAAAATATTCACCTAAAAAATAACCAAGTAATCTTTGATTAATTAAATCAATTGGGCTAGAATTATCACCAGTGTTTTTCTTATAATCGTTCATTTTTTCTTGTAAATAGGAAAAAGCATAAGATCTTGGTAATAAATCGTTAATTAAAATGGCGTGGAAATAATGCTGAAAATTAAAAGTAAAAAATTTTAAACATTTTGAAAGAATTCATATTTCCGAAAAAATTTTTATAGAGAAGGGATCGCGCCGACAGAAAATCAAATTCCCGATTTTCGTGAATTTACGAGCCAAAAAACGATTTTCGAAAATCAAGAATCAGGTTGGGCGCGATACCTGGTATAGACTTGCCAAAAAATTCGATTTCAGTCGATTTTTATTTCGACGTTAAATAAAAACTTGGTAAAATAAATTGTCTGACAATCAAATATTTAATAATAAAATCTGACGTCAAATTAGAAATTCGACTAAAATTCGATGCTGGCACAAATAAAATTCCTTAAAACTCACAGATAAATGGTCAATCGATCTAACCAATAAAAACCGCATTTCAGAATCCTGAACTCGTTGAGCACATTTTTTAAGATTACCCACAATTGTTTGATAACGAGAAATGTTTGAATGAAAGGGAAATTCAATTTCCTCCTAAAAATTTTAAAAGAAATTTTTAAAAAATTATTTTTAAAAATTACTTTTCTCAATTTACACAGTTCAGCCAATTTTTGCAAAGGTTGCTTCATTTCATTTTCAATTTTATACATTACACCTTCTACACAATCAAGGAAAGGATCCTCTGCAGGACGCTTGACACGTGTAAACCTCTTAAAAAAATTTTAAATTTTTCGATTAAAAATACTTTTCCTCCTTACTGTCAACAGGAGGCATAACATGACTTTTCAAATTATCTAATTGATGTCTAACAGTAGTTATAGTTTCTGAATGTAAATTGGAGCACAAATTAAGCATATGTTCACAACAAGCTTTAATATCCAAACTTGTATCTCCTACACCCATAGAAGCTGTTAGGCCAACAATTTGTGGTTTTTCTGGTAAGTTGCTCTTTTCGAGCATTTCCATGAGTACTAAAAAGAAATAAAGAATAAATAAATAAAATTTCCGAAAATAGAACATTTCGGAAAGAAATATTAAATTTCAAAATGATTAGGGTTGCCAGCTCGCTCGACCCGAGACTTAAAGATAGAGCGAGTCGAGACTGTCTAGCTCTAAAAAATACGTGCATGACTCGAATCCGAAAAATCCCCCAACTCGAAAAACTCGGAAACGACCCGCTCAACAGGGCTGTGCGCCAAAATTTTCGCGTGGCGCGCCAAACGCCAATTTTTCAAATTTTAAAAACACGCCAAACGCAAAACGCCAAAAATCGGCAAAAATCAACGCCAAAACGCCAAACGCCAAAATTTTTAGAGTCTATAAAGACTCAAAAACCTCTTTTCTTCTCATTTTAGCGCCGCAGGCGAAATTTTTTCATTTCCATGATTCACAGAAGCTAGAATTCATCTTTTTTTACCGCCAGATGCGAAAATTTTGAAGAGTTTTTGAAAATTTTTTGAATTAAGTATGACCAGGAAGCAGGCCCTAGACAAGGGGGGGGGGAGAATTCCCATCCCACGAAATGAGGAACATGAAAAAATTTGGGTAGAACCCCTTGAGATTAAGGTGGATATGAAGGCATAAAGTCGGTAATAAGAATACAGAGGTCTTGAAGAGAGTAAATGGTTGAAGGAGCTAAAGTTTTTTTTCTATCATGATGAAAGTATTAGTTTAAGATAAGGGCTTCCTCCTTTAAGCGCCGCAGGCGAAAATTTTGAAAATTTTAGAAGTCCAAGCAGTAGATTTCTTTATTTTTTATGCGCCGCAGGCGAAAATTTTGAGAATTTTAGATGACTGTGTGCAAAAAAATGTTCTTTCTCGATCATCCTTTCTCCCAATTATTTTAAAAAATTTCCATCATTAGGGGTGTATATTTTCGGCGTTTGGCGCGCCAAAATCGGAAAATCACGCCAAACGCAAAACGCCAAAAATCGGCCAAAATTAACGCCAAAACGCAAAACGCCAAACGCCATGACGCACAGCCCTGCCGCTCAACAAATCCCAGGCTCAAAGAAATGCACAGAACGTCGGCTCTAATCGAAAACAACAACCTTAATGACGACATAAAACATCTTCCGGAAAATATAAACACCTTTCCGAAAAATACAGAAAAAAATTTTTTTTTAAATACATAAAATACCAACTTTTGTATGGATGCAGTTTTGTCTATAAAAAATAATTAAATATTTTAATTTTATTTAAAAAAAAGTTTACCGCATGGTGACACTCATCAAATATAATTAAAGTAAAATCAGCAAAATAAACACGTTCAGAACGCAAAATACTTTCTAACATATTTCTAAAAAATTTCAAAAAAATTTTAATTAAATTTAAAAAAAACATTAATATTTGTGGTGTCATAACCAAAATGTCTGCAGACAATAAACGATAAGCCCGGCCTTCCAAAATATTTTCACAGCCACTAAAACCATCTACCCAATAAGCAATATTTGGACGATAATTATCTCTATATTCTGTGAGAAATTGAACAAAATGTAAAGATTGTTGATCAACTAAAGGAACTGTTGGTACTAGCATTACACACTTAAAAATAAAAATTAGTAGGAAAAGGAGGTTGGAAATTTGAAAATTTGCTAGTACTTCGTAGACAGTAGAGATCGAGCTGGACCAAGGCCAAAGTATTTTTTGACCTCCCTGGGTTTTTTCTGGGCCTTGGTTTTTCATGGACTACAGGCCCAGGATCCAGCCCAGGTCAATAAATCAAACTCCAGAGTCCAGGAACAGGTCCAGGCTTTTCAAAAATCTCGATCTCTAGTAGGGTACGTGTACTAATTTTTTGGCTTTTTTGAAGGAAGCCAAAATATTTAAAAGAAAATTTTAAAACTTCTTACTCTTCCAACTTTTCCAGCACGATGACGATTAGTTAAATGATTTTTAATAATATCAACAGCTACCAAAGTTTTTCCACTTCCAGTTGGTGCACAAATAATTGTATTTCGACCTCTGAAAGACAAGAATTAAAAAAAAAATCAAAAATAAATTTTATTTAGTCTTTTTAATTTTAATACGAAAGGAGGAAACAACAAAGTGTAGAACAGGGACGTGTCAGTTTTTAATATTTTGAAAATTAAAAGCTTCCGCTATTAATTTTTAAAATCAATTTTTCAAATAAGCTAATAATTCAAAAAATCTAATTATATTTTTTTTAAATCACAGGTACAAATAATTGTACTCTTACGCAAAAATATTCCAAAAAACCATCCTTATTTAAAAAGAATAATAAACAATCAAAATTCTTTCCAAAATTTAAAAATAAAATAAATTAAAAATTAACTTGTTGGCATGCAAAACCAGTTCGTTTTGATAAGGTCGTAAATCATATGTTTCCGGTTCATATTCCAATACATTAGCTTTAGAAAAATTTAAATAAAAATTAAAACAAAACAAACTGCAAGTCTTATATTTTAAATAATCTTTTTGGTCTCTAGGAATTGTTGGCTCTTCTTCATTATTAACCAAATCAGCAAAAAGTTCAGCAGAATTTGGAAGACCAGCACCAATTAATTTGTTTGCCTTCCATTTATCTAAAATAAATAATTAATAAAAAATAAAAAACAAACAAACTTAAATCATCCAAATAATCTGGATCAATAAGTCTAGGAAAGAAACGGCAATCTCCATGACTTAAAAGAGCTTCAAAAAATTCATAATACCAATCCTGAAAATATTTTTTTATTTTTAAAAAAATTATAGGATTATTGAAGAGTGGGCGGCATTTTATGTGAATTTTTTTTTGCAAAAATACTTTCAAAAAAATTTTTTAAAGCAGAAAGTTGGCAAATATTTTGCAGAAAAATGGTAATATTCAGTTATCTTCTCTGTTTTTCCCCTGTCTTTTCTATATTTTCAGAAATTTATAATGGAAAAAATAGAAAAAATAGAAAAAAATTCTCAACTTTAAGCTAATTTAAGGTTTCTTTCAAATTAATTTGAAAGAAATCCCTCCTTCGGGAAGGAGGAAGAAAAATGAAAGGAATGGTTATTTATGAATTTAAAAAGAATTTAAAATCAATCTCCTTCTTGAAGGGGGGAAGGAAAATAAAAATGCACAGAAAACCCACCCCTCTTCACTAATCCAAAAAATTTTAAAATTTACCCCAAAATTTTTTGTAGAATCGACCACATCTGTACAATGAACTAATCCACGGATAAATAAACAAGCAGCTGCTTCAATCTCTAAAATTAAATTTAAAAAAACTAAAAGATACAAAAAAACCTCGTTTACACGGATCATTTATAGAATAAATTCTTTCAACTCTTTCCAATAAATGATCATATTCATGTATATTTTTACTTGAAAACCAACGAAAAATGTGTTTAGGTTCAAGAACACAACGAATACGATCCACTTTAAAACGATCATTGGGAGAAAATAAACGAATATAATAATCAATAGTTGCAAGACCATTTAAATGCAATTCGGCATAAGAAACTGGATCAGCTGGAAAAAAGTTGTATTAATGTGTGAAAAAGGAAGGTAATGTGTCCCCTTTTTACTTAAATTTATTATTATTGTTTCCTGAATATTTTTGAATCACATAATATGATCTGAATTTGATATTTACAACTGGGTCTGGGGTGAACCGTTAGCTGTAACATTTAAAGGGTTTCTTAGAAATTTGTCAGACAAAAAAAAGACGAAAAAGTGCAACTTTTTTGCCCAATCCCCTCCCCAAATTTTTTTCATTTCGTGGTGGCGGGGAGGGGGGGGGATTCCCCATAGCTACGGGCCTGATACCGGGTGGTATCAAACCACTAACAATAAGACTGCCAGTAAGGTGAACTCAATGCTAGAATCCAAAAAGTCCCCGATAAAAAACCAAAAATAAAATTAATGTAAGTAAAAAGAGGGAAGCAATTTCCAAAAATAAACTTCAAAAAAATAAATAATTTAAAATTAAATAATTACCATTTTTACAACGAGCAATAATTGCCAAAAGAATAGGTAAAGAATCAGGAATATTTGAACTTGAAATAATTTTAAAAAGATTTGCTTTTGTCGCTCTCAAAGCATCACGTTCTGCTTCTGTAGCTTCTTTACCCAAAACTAACGCCCTTTCCAAAGCAATTTTATATAAATTATTTAATTCGTCAACTTTGTGATCTTAAAACGAATAATTAATTTTAAAAATTGATATTATTCGTTTTTCTCATATGTCCGCAAATGTTTGTCCGCAAATTTTTTTGCGGACTCTCCTCTAATAAATATTTAAAAAAAGAAAAAAGGAAATGACACAACTTTGCGGACACGTTTTCCTCCCAACATGTCCGCAAATTTTTTTCCTTTCCTTTCCTTCAGTCTTTCTCCTCTAGTAAATATTTAAAAAAGAAAAAAACAAAAGAAAGAATTTGCGGACAAACATTTGCGGACACATTTTTTTTAGAAGAAAAATCCATAGCACCAAAAAATTATAAAAATTAAATTAAAAATTACTTGCGAAATGTTTAACCAATTCATCAAAATCATTCCCAACATTTTCAACAAATTCAAAAACAAAAAGCCGGATATGTGATTCCACTGTTATTCCTTTTCGACGTAATTCATTTATCCAACGATTCAATTTGTTTGTTTCTTCTTCATTTGGTAAAAGGCCAGTTATTTCAGGAAATTTTGCTTTTAAAGAAAAAATTATTTTTAAAAAATATTTAAAAATATACCTTTAATTCGCATTGATCAACAAAAAAATATTTTTTATTTAATTAAAGAATTTACTAAACTTTTAACCACTAAAATTAAAATTTTAATTAATTTTTATAAAAACTGATACCGCAATCCCGCATTTTTTTTAATTTGCGGGAGTGCGGGATTATTCCCTCGGGATTATTCCCTCGCAAACGTTTTTAAGTTATTCCCGCATGCGGGATCCCGCAAAATATTTTGTATTTTGGGGGGTTTTTTGGAAAACAGGGAATTTTGGGCCCCTGGCCTCTAAACTTCAAAAAAAATTTCGCCAGCGGCAGAAAAAAAATAAAAATATTATAAAATATTAAAATAAAATATAATATGTAGAAATTAATTTAAATAAAAATTAAATATTTATTAAATTTTTTGGGGAAAAAGAAAAGGACAAAAAAGAACATTTAAATTTTCTTTCTTCAAATATTTACAGAAGCTGCCCGTTCATTCTTTAAATTTTTACTAAAATCGTTATAATTAATTGGTCCCCAAGACGGAAGAGGTTCAAATATATGTGAAACCGCATGTATTTTTGCAAATGCCATCAAATAATGGATTAAAGGAACAAGTACAGTTCTTTAAAAGAATTAAAAAAAATTATTTTTGGAATTTATGAAGAATGGAAAGGATAAGCAGACATTTTGTTGGTGAGTCAAACCCTAACCGAGAGCTATATATAAATTTGTTTCGGGATTTGTAGGAGACAATTTATTAAATTGTCTCCACTTGATAAAACGAACTATGATTAAAATAGCTAGCTGAGCGTCTTAGGACCTATGGTCCAGTTTTGTGCAATTATGTGGGACCTATTGTAAATAGTAGTGGTACACCTCCAAAGTGGTGGAAGGTACACCCCCGTTAGGTCCTAATTGCAGAAGTTGGTGATTTACGGCATAGATTCTATTACACACGCAAAATACCGGATCATAGGTCCTGACACGCAGATACAGATCTGAGGCTGGAATAAAAAGGTTCAAAATTACCCAAAATTACTTCAAATTATCAAAACAAAGTTCAGAATTACCCAAATTGTCCCATCAATCTAAAATTATTTGCGAATAAAATTTATTTTTAATGATAAGTGAAAGGAAAAAGAGCCTCAAATCCCACTCCCTTCCATTCTTCACTCAATTATTTAATTTAAATAATTTTTACAATGCAGCAAGTATAACCACCATCCACCCATAAAATTGAAATCCACTAGGAAATGAATATTCCAAAACTTTTATTGATTTATTTTTGTAAACTTTAAATAATATAGTTACCTTTAAAAAATAAATTTTTGAAAAATTATTTTAAAAAAAAATAAGCTCTTACAACAATAAATGTTGGGGCAAATAAATAATACCAAATAGCAGAAAGTGTATAGAGTAAGTGAGATTTGTGTTGATGGTTTTGAAGCATTGTTTGAACATTACTTTAAAAGTAAAAAAAATTTTTTTTGTTTCTTAAATTAAATTGGACTTCACTATAAGATACACTCAATACTAGATATCAGTGATGATCCTTGCCTTAGAAAATTCTGCAAAAGTCAAGAGAGAGGTCCTTCAGATCACCACAATTTAAGATATTAGTTTACAAATGGATGAATGAAGAGTAAGGTTGTGGGATAATTGTAAATTTTCGGATACGAACCAAAATTTTCGGATATCTAGTCTCTTTTCGGATCCGGACCCGAAAACCTTAATAAAGAGTGATACTTAAGCTAGTGACAATCAATTAATCAAGTGATACTCCCAATTTATAAAATACAAATTTTTCGGCCCTATATATCTTATAGTGAGCTTCAACAATGAAGATAATTTTTTAAAAAATTTACGCCAAATATCGTCTAAATCCATAATGTATATTTATAGCAAATCTAAAAAATTAAAATAATTTTTCAAAGTTAAAAAATCTTCCTTACATTTCAGAAAGACTAACCAACATAAATCCAATACTCGAAAATTCAATCCAAAGTTTACTAACAGTAATACCATTCGGCCCAATTAACCCAATCGAAGCAATAATTCCAAAAATAACAACACCACAAGTTGCAGAAAATTGAATTTTGTTATCTTCATCATGTCCCAAAAAAGCTTCTCTTTGTTTAAATTTAAGTACTAATTCTTCAAATGCAAATTTAACCATATCAAAACAGACAACCTTTTTTTAAATTAAAAAAATAATAAAAATGCAGTCGGCTCGCTTTTAGGCACACGGGAATTGGGCAACTTCAATTTAAGATACTACTAAAGGATACTACACCTCAACTGGGACACGCCCGAAATGTCGCGCGGCCATAATGTCGCCGAGCCATAACTTGCTTTAAGATTTCCGAATCTTTCCAAATTTAGTATTAAACGATTCCAAATTGATAAGGGCCAGAAATTTTTTAGCAAATTATGACTTGGCGACATTATGGCCGCGCGACATTTCGGGCTGTACCCCCTCAACTGAGTCCCGAATCCTATAACTTATGAAGGGATGTCACTTCTTTATGTTCTTGGTACCAGTGGATAGAGCATTAAAGCTACAATATACCAAAAATCAAAATTCTTGAACGACTGGTAAAGAAGTTTTATGATCGATAAAGTGATGCACCCCTTCTTGAGTTATAGAGCCGGGACTCACAATCAGTTGAACTGCTTCGACTACTAAGGGTCTTGTTTTTGTCAAATGGGAGGAGCTGATTAAGCGATACCCCAAAAGATAATAACCGAGTTAAAATTACGCTATCCCGAAATTTAAGGGGTAGAGCTCCAAGGTGTATCTAAAAGTGAGATTTAATTAAAATTAAATTTTATACAGTGTGTGTAATTCCAAGAAATCCAATAGCCAAATAATGAAGAACACCAAAAATCCAACCAAATTTAGTACTCCAAATTATATGTTCTGGAAACATTGTGATGGGCTAAAATAATATTTTAGAAGGGGCGCATCAATAAAAATCAAAATTTTTACCGTTACATGTTCATGTGTAAACATAAACTTAATTCTATGGGGTATTTCATCTTCAGGATATATTCTATGAGCCATTGAAGCAATTGAAGAGAAATGAGTAATTCCAGATATTAAACTAAATAATCTAAAAATTAAAAAAAATTAATTAAAAAAATATTTTCAATAAATTTTACATATCAGCAGCACTTGTAATTAAAGCATTATAGAAAAAATTTTCATTAAAATCAGACAGACTACTAATTTTTTGTACAGAACCAGTACCCAAAGCTAAGGAAACAATTACAAAACCAACAGCTAAAAATAAAATTTTTAGATTATTTTTTCCTATTAAAGTTAAACCTCATTATTAGATACCCCTTGTGAATGAAAAGAATCATTGCAAATACAAGGTGCCAATAGCTCCCCTCACCCTCTGGGCAACCAAATTAAGAAAACAAATTTTAAACTGACAAGGAACCATTCTTTACTGTGAACACGAATTCGGTATTTTTTGGTACCATTCGATAGAGGACCCCCGACTTTCTATTGGATAGTCTTGGGTGTATAAAAAAATTAAATTGAAAAACCGTCTGCCCAAATTCCAAAGCTTGATAAAGGAGACAAATCAAATTTAAAAAATTCATGCCAATCTGCATCTGCTGGTGTATAATATAAACCTTTTTTAAAATTATTTTTAAATTAATAAAAAAAAATTTAAAAAATACTCATAAGCATATTCAAAAGCATTGCAACGCCAATAATTCCTTTTAAACAAACAAATGTTTTTCCCAATTTTCTGATTCCAATATAAATTAAAAATCCAGTAACTGTCCAAATAATGAGTAAAATTGCGCCCGATTTAAAAGGAAAGAACCAGTCTTTTTGATGCCAGATTGGCTAAAAATTGTAAAAAAAATTTTTTAACAATCGGACCCCACTAAAAGATAACCCCAATACTAGATGACTTCCATTTAAGAGACGTTTTCTTCATTTAGTTGGGCAATGGGTGGGGAGTAAGGATGGCGGATCCGGATCCGAAAAAGGCCGGATATCCGGAAAATTTCGGTTCGGATGTCCGAAGATTTCCAAGTATCCGACAACCTTAGTGGGGGCTGTCTAATGTCTAAAAATGATAATCCGAATTAAAATACAGCTCATTATACGACATTTTCAGACCTCAAGGATGTAACTTATAGTAAAGTTCGACTGTATTTATCTTTTAAAAATAACCATATAAACATTTGCTGTAATAAAATCCAAATGTGGCGGTCTCCACATTCTCCATCTTTGTTTTGACGAAACATTATAAATTATATCTAGACCACGAATCCAACCATGACAATTTAATGAATTAAATTCTGCCAGTGTATGGGAAGTGTTGCTTTGAATAATTTCATAACATTGAGTATAGCTACTGGAAAAGGATAATTTTTTAAATTAAAAAAAAAAAGATTCTGAATAAACCGTCTAAAGCAAAGATGACTAGAACCAGAAAATGTACAATTATTCCATAAAGGTCCTCCACTTCTAAAACCTTCACGTATTGTATATAATGCAGACAAAGTAGCTTGAGTAGAATCAGCAGCCATTGAAATTGCTTTAAACATTAATAGAGCTAACATAACTGTGCCGATTCCTGAGGGAAAATTTTTTTCCTTTTTAAATTTTTAAAATAACCAGCAAGAGACGGGCACATTTTTCTAAACAATTCGACAGGAGGAACCGAAGCAAATTGACCCAAAGCCATCTCAACGCACAATACTGGAACACCAACAAACAAATAAGCAGAAACATAGGCAAAAATGAAAGGAACTAGAAAAATAATTTTTTATTTTAATCAAGAAATATGGTAATAGTTTGGAATTCGCTCCCCTTTTTCCTTTTTATTTTTCCTAGTTTTTCCCATTTTATGGCAAATTATATATCATTCGAAAGAGCTTTTCGAGCTGAGTCGAATGACATTAAAATTAACGTAAACTGACTTAAGTGAACAAAACTGTGACCGTTTATTTTATTCCCTTGCATTGGCACAAAAAGTCTACCCAACTAGGATTTAGCTGCATAATTTTGGTACGAATCATCAGATCTAGCCAATCTTGGTATCATTCGATCAAACTCTTTCGAATGATATATAATAAATTATATATCAAACAAAAAAAGCCCAAAATGGTCAGGGAAACGATGAAAGGGGGGGGGGGCGAATTTCAAACTATCACCGAAATATTTTTCTCTAACCTCCACCATGAAGTGTACATACTAAAAATAAATAAAAATTTATTTTTAAAATTTAAAAAAACTTACAATATGGAAATTTAATCATATTACTCTGAGAGAGTATATGAGAAAAGTGGATGAAATGGTGATAAACGCCTTTCTTTTCCCAAGGCACTCGAGTTCGTAAAGAACGCATAGATATTCCAGACAGCATTCTTTCACTTTCAATACTACGTGGATATTCATCCCCTTCAATGCTTGATGGGGGACTGCTGGCCTAAAATTAAATAAAGATTAAAAAATAATTTTTCTTTTAGATTTAAACCCTTTTAACGCTGACATCCTCATATTCAAAACTGCTTGTACGAGTTACTTCATTAGATGATCTCGAAACCTGTTGATAAATTAGAGTAATTAAAAGTAAAATATTAAAAAAGATTACCCCCGAAGAAGACATTTATTAAGAAAATAGACTTTAAATGATGAAAAATAATAAGCGCTTTTGCTGTTTTATAAGATTTTTATGGTTGCTAAAAACCAAATAAAAATTAAACAAAAGGATTAGTAACGTCTTATTTAGTTTGTAATCAGGGCTCCACGCAATTGCGGATTGCGAGTTGCGGATTGCGTAAATTGTGGGGGGTTTTTGCAATTGCGAGTTGCTTTTGCAATTGCAGGGGTGTGCCGAAACAGACTTTAAAAAACGAAAGGCGAAAAACGGAAGTCGAAATGGCACATCCCTGCTTTAGAACAATGTTGATTTAAAAAGTTCGGACACAGGCAATCTTAAAAAATACGCCAGAATCCTAACGGCATGATCCCTAAATCTAAATCAAGAAAAAAATACAAATTGTAATGGTATAAAAGCTTAACATTGCGACTGCGTCTTAGCGATAAGACGTCAACTGTTTATTTTTTGAAGGTTAATTTTTGTTTTTAAAATTTTTCTCTGATTTAAACACAACGCCAATTTTTCTTTTATAATTTAGAAATTCAAATTTGTTGCCCGATATCACGTTTAAGTGATTGCAACTTCAATGGTCTTTTGTTGCTGTTCAGGCAGTTGTTGTTCCATAAATTGTTGTGAAGACAAAAATGGCCATTCAATTCCTAGGCTTACAAAAATCGAAGAGAAGAATTTATCGATGGAAGAACAATTAATGTTGGCTATAAAACGCTCATCTCTACGATCAATTGTTAATTGCTATATTAGAGGTGTCAATGCAGATGCTGTAATAGATCCAACTAATGGAGAAAATCCCCTACATCTTGCTGTTAGAGTGAGTTTTTCGGGTCAATTAGACTACCGGGGGGGGGGGGGGGGGGGTCAGGGAGGTCACATGTTCGATGCCTTCCCGGGGTCTAAATTTTTCTCTCTCTATAGTAAAGGCTAGAGTGATTTTTTCGCGATTCTCCCCGACCCGAACCCCGCCCCGAAACAATTCGAAAACCCCGTACCCCGACATACCCGCCCCCAAGCGTTCGGGGTACAACCCTAGTAAACACCAATAATTCTAATATTTTTCAAACTTAAGACAAACCTTACAACAGTACAAGCGGTCCTTCTCCTTTACGCAAATGAGCAAATGTTGACTGGACGGAACAATAATGGAGATCAACCGTTACAATTAGCAGGCAGTTATTCTTCAAGAATACGCAAATGTATTCAACTTTTTATCGACATTCATTGTAAAAAGGATAAAGAAGACTCTGACGATGAAGGAGAGAACGAAGAAGAAAAGTTGCCAAATAATGATGAAAGAACCAAGCCTCCAATTCTTCTTTCTCTTGATGGGGGTGGAATTAAAGGACTTGTGCTAATAAGGGTTTTAACGTCTTATAAAGTAAATTATTTTTAAGATCTAGGTGCTTTTGATTATCGAGAGAAATTTGGGCAAGGATTTATGGCCCCTAATCGACTGGGTTGCTGGTATGTAAATTTTAACATTTTAAGACAATAGAATTTTAAAAATATTTTAATTTTAGGAACCAGTACTGGGGCAATTCTCGCTTGCGCACTTGCTAAAGGTCATCCTTCTTTTCAACCCTAATTAAAAATTTTTAGGAAAATCATTAACGGATTGTCAAAAGCTTTATTTACAATTAAAGAATATTGTCTTTAGAGGATCTCGACCATACAATCCTGTAGTGTTGGAACGAATATTAATTCAGACATTGTCCACAGATTTTATTTCTTCAATTGAAAAGCCAAAATTATTACTAACCTCTGCTAAAATGAATATTGCACCTCCTTCATTGGTTCTCTTTCGCAGCTATCAACTCCCAGAGGAACTTACAAAAGGGGAGGACAAGATGGAAGAGGTAATTTATTTTAAACAAATTTTTTTTAATATTTTCAAACAATAGATGGGATATGTTGACAGAAATGTGACTACTATATGGAAAGCAGCTCGTTGTTCAAGGTGATTTAATAGATTTTTTTGGAAGGTAAATTGCAGTCAAACCTCGCTAAAGGGTAAACCCCCGGGATATCAAAACAGTGAGTCATCTTAAATAGGAGGTATCTAACGGGGGCCCTCCCACATTTTAGAAAGCGGAACGCGGAAGTGTCAGAGCGGAATTCTACGGAAGCAGAAAGACAGCCCATCCGTGGTAGTGCTTCACCGGAACCGCAAATTTGGCCGGAACCGGATCTAATTTTTTGGTTCAGGACCGGAACCGGTACTTCCGGCGAAGCTCTAATCCGTGATATCTAATAATAAGACTCGACTATAATTTACTTTAAATTCCTTTCAATTTTTAGCGCCGCTCCAACATATTTTCCACCGTTTGACGACATTTACGTCGATGGAGGCGTTATTTGCAACAATCCAACGATGGAATTGCTTACAGAATTTGTAAAACTCCGTCCTTATTTTAAATTGCCCAATCCACATTGTGTTATATCAATTGGCACAGGAACTCCTCCCTCGAAGAGTTTAACAATTCATAGATCTTTTATTTGGAGACTTCTTCAACGAGTTTCGAGAAATACCGAATTTATGCGGAATATGGCACAAGGGCTTGTGGAGCAAGTAATTTTTAATCTAAAAATCAAATCTGTCAAATTTTCTTCTTAAAAGATTACCGAATCAAACCGTCGACCTGTTATGCATTGTAGTGCTTTCTGTGCTGCTTTAGGCGTCCCCTTCTTTCGTTTCTCTCCGCGTTTGAGTGATGATGTGGTGAGGAATTTTTAAAATTTTACTAGAAAGTTTCGTTAATTTATTCAAATTTAGCGTATAAACGAAGTGGATGATGCCTGTATTCTTAAAATGCTTTGGGATGTTGAAGTTGCAATGTATGCAGCAAGGAAGGATGTAGATAAACTAGTTAAAATTCTTAAAAGTCGAATATAAATTACTAATTATTTTATTTTTTTGTTGTATTATATGTATGTTTTGTATATTTATTAAGTCTAATAGCTGTAAAAAAAACAAATATTTTGTTGGTTATTGTTTTCCTTACAAGTTTAACTAACTCGATTTATTTTTTTATTTCATTTGGTCAAGCTTCCGTTTTTTCCAGACCTGTTCACGGATACTGATTTTGGTATCCGGATATTTACGGCGGATACGGGCGGATATCCGCAAGCTTTTGATATTATCTGTATCTACTATAACCGCGTCCATGAGCAGGTTTGAAATTTGCAGTGTTGTTTTTTATTCTCATCTGTCAAAGCTTTAAAGCAATCCTTTTTTCTTATTCTACATAACTCGTTTGTTTCAACTTTAGTATTCTTTACTATATTCTCATGTTTTCTAATTGATTGTTTTTTTACTAGGGTTGAACGCGACCGGGTTTTGAAACCGGAATTTTTGATATTTTGCCAAAAAGTACCAGTTTTTATAAAATTTTAAAAACCGAAAATTTCTGAAAATGGGTAAAAATAAAACCGGTATTAGACCAAAACTCAAAACCGAAAACCGGGAATCTTAAAATTGGATTACCCTAAAACCGTGGGTACCGGGTTGTCCAACCCTACTTTTTACTATAAAAGCTCTACTAGAATGTTGCTCTTTTCTCATACTATCGTCTCATAGCGCAAACATTCAGCGGGTAACCGGCGTTTCTGGTTTTCAAAGAGGTGATGTCAATGCTGAAGAAGACTCCACTCTTTTGTGCAAAGGAATGCGCCACTTTTCTCGATCTTCTACTTTCAACTCGGTCTAAGGAATCACAGGTACTTGGACGCCTTTTTGTTTCATTCCTTTCATTTTATTTAGGTTGCTGCTTCTCTCTACTTCAGAAAAAAACTCGCAGCGTGCCAGGAGCCTCCTGAAGAGTTGGTTGAAACAATTGTGAGTTTTCAATGAAGCATTAACGAGTTCTAATCCTTCCACCTTTTCAGATTCTTGAGCTTATTAACTGCCTCCGTCGTCCTTCAAACGAACTTCAATTGAACGCTTCTTGGGCTCTGACAAATTTGGCCTGTGGCTCTCGTCAGGAAACGCATAGGATCATTGCCAGTGGTGGCATTGATGCGCTTGTTCACGTTGCGTCGACGACAGTGGGAGAAATTCGTGATCAAGCTATTTGGGCACTAGGAAATTTGGCAGCAGATTGTGCCTCGTGTCGACAACAAGTGCGGGCTTCGGGACTTTTGGCCTTATTAATTGTAATGCTGGAAATGCCAGACTATCAGGCTCACGATCCTCGCAAAATTGTTATTTGGTGCTTGGCTAATTTGCTTCGTGGTGGAATGAATGACATTGAGCTTGATGTGAGTTTGATTGGTTTTTATTTGAAAAACGAGACTTTTTCATTCCTTTTCAGAGTGTCGGCCGACTTCTCTCTTCACTTCATGTGACTCTATCCCTCTACGATACAGGGGAAATTCTCTGTGATGCTGTTTGGTGTATTGCATATCTCATCGACCACGCAACAATTGAAGGAGAAAGAGTTTAGTAATTTCCTTTTTGAAAACTAGCTTTTAAAACGCTTGATTCATTCTAATCACCTTTACTTTTGCAGATCGATCTGTTGTTTGCCCAACCAGGCCTAGCTGCAAGTATTGTCAATCTACTCAAGTCTGATTCTCTTCGTGCGCTCACTGGTGCTCTTCGCACTGTTGGAAACATCATCACCGGAACAGATGAGCAAACCACTGCAATTCTTGACCTTGGCGTCCTGGAAGATTTGGTAAAATATTTTCAAAAATGAATTTTTTGATTAAATTATTTGTCTTTAAGAGTGATCTAGTCAACTCCAACGTCCATCAAATTTCGCGAGAATGCCTTTGGATCCTCAGCAACATCGCTGCCGGCACTTCAGAACATGTCACTCGCCTTTTCTCAGTCGATGGAATGGCACAAAGCGTTTTTCAACTTGCCTACGATCAGAGTCCAAGAAAGCGAAAAGTTGGTTTCAAGTCTTTTTAAGTGAAATGATTCTTTAAATTAAAGGAAGCCTATTGGGTTGTTGTGAATGCGATGATGGGAGCGCCGCCGTCTCTTTATGAATATTTGATGAGTGGAGGTCTTGCACAAATCCTGGTGCAGCTGCTTGAAGAAAATTTGGACGCGGCATTGCTTGAGCGTACTTTGGTTAGTTTTGTCAATTATTTGCTTTAAAAAACATCCTTTTTTGTTTCAAGAACACAACGCAGCATTCACTCCAAGACAGATCCCGAAATCGTTTATACACTATTGCATTGTTCCGACGCGTTGGCTTGGTAGAGCAAATTGCTAAAATTGCGTTCAACAACTCAACTTTAAATGAAGTTGATCCTGCTTCTGTAAGTTGGAACTCTTGCATATTTTATAAAATAAAATTTCCATTTTTTATAGAATTTGGCTGCTACAATTCTGCAACAACATTTTGGAATCCATATCGGACGGGTGGAAGGGGGCGGAAATATTAGAGGAGTTGAGAGAAGGAATGAAGAAAATGAGGAAGATATTGTAGGCCAGAATGTTGTAAACCTTCGCTGTGTATACGAGGAATCTGTGGAACTTGCATCAGCAGCGTCAACATCGAGAAATGTAAACCAAAATTCTTCAGAGGAGCGAAAGTCGATTTTGGTCAGAATCAAAAGAATGGATGAAACTTGTGATAAAAAATAAAAATACACCTATTGTACAAAATCCCTTTTTGTGTGTTGTGTATGTATTATATTTGTACAAATAAATCGTAATAATAAAGTTGATTTTTAACCTCCATTATAAATTTGGTTGGCTGAAAATACCAAAAAATATTTTTTTCCTAATTATTTTTTTTGAATAAGTCCTGATTAGGGTTGTCGGTTCTGGACCGAACCGAAGAATCGCTATTTTTCAGTTGTTCCCCGGATATCCGAGGAATTTCCAGGAACCAACAACCCTATTTAGTCATGATGACTCGTTTCCCAATTGTCCTCTGTCTAAATGGTTTCTTTGTCCATTTGTCTGTAACTGTTTGGTTGAAGTGCCACGTTAGGGGCACGCCCAAGTAGGCCTTATAAGTTCTGACCCTTATCAATTTTGGAACCAATCTATTTAGCTCGTTGAGAGGAATCGTTTAATACTAAATTTGGTGAGAATCGGGCATCTTGAAGCAAGTTATAATTTTGTGCCGTTATGGCCGCGCGCTGCTGTACCTGCCACGTTAATATCTTTTTGCTTTGATTCTGATTAGATTTTTTCTAATTTTTTCATTTTTCTAGATCAAATCTGCTCAATTCTCAAACTTTAATTAAGCTGCAAAAATGCTTTCACTTTATCAAATTCTTGAATTTTCTTTACTTGTTGTGAATGGATTTGCGATTATCAATAAAGAAAGAGTTTTAAATAAGGTTTATTTTCTAATTTTTTATTAAATTTATTTTTAAATGATTTTTAGTATTTAAAAAATCGACAACACAGCTTTCACGAGGACAGTGAAAATTCGATTGTTTTAAGATTGGTTAATCTTGTGTTGGCAGTTCAAACAGTGCTTAGATGTAATTATAGTTGGTAATTTTGAATTTTATTCCTCTCCTCTTTTTCTTCAATCTCACATGATTTTAATAAGTCAAAAAAGGATTGGGTATAATTTGAAATTTAAAATGTAAGAGATGAAGGTCCAGATGGTCCATCCATTCATCGGTTCCGTTAATGACTAGAATTTTCTAGAGAGCGAGATTTTTAAAAAAAAACCTTGCTTTTGGATGGATACCTTGACCCTGAGTCAAGGAAAAATCAAGGAACGCTGAAAAATGCCTTGATCTGGGCTCTGGATCCAGGGAAGATCAAAGTAGAATTTTCCCGAACCTTTTGGTAGAATTCTCTGAACACCTGTAATTTTTGCACGGACAGAGAGGATAGGATCATCTGTCACGGAACATTTTCAATACTTTAATTTCTGAATTAGAACAGAGGAAGAAAAAAGGGGGAGTGAGAGAAACGAAATTCAAGATTACCATTAACGTTATTTTTTTAATTAAAAATTTTTTTTTTATTTTTAGTTCCACTTATCTTCCTAAATATTATTGCAATCATTTTTAAACTTTTGTTTGGCTAAAGTTTGATTTTTTTTTCAGAAAAAAATATTTACAAAATTTGTGTTAATAAATTATTTTAAATTAATTTTTCGGTAATATTTTGAACATGGCAGACCACAAATTTTCCTCCCCAAAATTTCCTATATATCTATAGAATGGTCAGACTTCTTCCTCTCAATTCAATTGCCTTTCTATATTTTGCCTACAAACAATCAAAAATAATTTTTTATTCCCCCTTGGATGGAAGAAAAGAAAATTGGGACGGAAGAGGTCTGACAATTCTAAAATATATAGGAAAACACTTGGGGAGGAAAATATGGGGTCTGACAGGTTCAATGTTTTTCTTTAAATAAATTCTTTCTATTCATCCTCATCAATTACTTTCCTTCTCTTTACCTTCTTTTCTGTTTGCATAATTTCAGAATTTTCGTCAGAATCTTTTTCTCTCATTTCTTCATCTTTTTGTTGATTGCTTTGTTGAGTTTTTAAAGAATCCAAATATTTATCCAAATCATCGTTGTCCTCGTCACTAGATTCAATCAATTTTTTGATCATCTTTTGGTCCTTTTTATGAGTTTGTTTTGAATTGATTGTTGGGGTATTCTGGAATTTAATTTAAAAATGTTTTTAAATTTTGGAATTTATTGACCCTGATATATTACGTGTTTTTTTTTGTTTTATTCTTGGCAACTAGATCGATCAAAGGATTAATTTTTAGAAAATCGTTTTACCAAGAATAACTGTTTTCGACCCACATAGGCAGTTATGAAAGTTCGTCTTCAGGAAGGTGAAGCTTTTAGAGCTACATAGTTGAGACTAGAGACCGGAATTGAGTGATCGATCGATAATATCTAGTTGAGATTCCTCGAGCTTCGACATTTAGGAAAAGCTACGTAAGCGTAAACGAGCTTCTCGAGCCATACAAGGGAAAATAGCGAATAAACTAAAGAGAGGGCCCCGTAAAATCCAAATTCCCAAAAATATTTTATAAAAATTTTTCTTCAAAAATCTTGTAAAAATTAAAAAAATTAACCTCATCCTTTTCAACATTTTCCTCCTCAACTATTTCATCATCATCTTCAGCCTGAGAAAATCCAGGGCGTAGTCTTTTCATTGTTGCCTTTAAAAATAACTTCTTATCAAAAATCCCAAAAAACCTGTACTAAACGTTTCCTTCCCAACTTTTCAATTTTATCCAAACAATCATCAAAATTCATTTTAGGGAAGAGATTGTGTGCCCAACATTCCATTTTATTTAAAAGTATATCCAATTTTTGATACTAGAAAAATAAAAAAAAATTTTTTTTAATTTAAATTTTCTCGGCGCTGGTCTAAGTTTATGCGTCCAATGAAAAGAAAATTGGATTTTTCTTGGTTTTGCAAAGTTGGGGTTCCAAAACATTCTAAAAATTTCAGAAAAACGATTTTAACTTCCCTTCCGGAAATTTGCGGGACAGAGAAAGAAATGGTCCCAGACCAAGCGGGCGTAGGTCCCGAAAAAAGTTCATTGGACGCGTGAAGAACAGCGCCATTTTCTCTTACAGGATCATATTCTTTTGGAAAATTAAAATTATCAAAAGAAGCTTTTAACGCTTCAATTCCTTTTTCAGAAGTTAATTCTCTTTCGGATAATTTTGGTTGAGGCCTTCTAATTTTTCTTTTGGAATTTTTTGTTTCGTCTTCCTCAGTTTTTTCCCAAACATTTTCCAAATCTTTTGCTTTTTGGGTATTTTTTTCTTTAAAAATAAATTTTTTAATTGGAGAAAATAAAAATAACCTTGTTCAACTTCATCTTTCTCAACGTCTTTTTCATCCATTTCGAGCACTTCATCTCCAAATAAATCTCCAAAATCGTCAAATTCCATTTCTTGTCTGAATAAAAATTTTCTTAAAATTAAAATCTGGCTTAAAAATTCTTTTTAATTTTTTCGAAATTGAAAAAAAAAACATTAAATAGACAGCCGGTACAATAGGGAACTGTCAATTGTCGTTTCGGCCAGTTGTATTTTTTAACGGGCATTGATCAATTGTCCTATTCACCTGTTTATGCTATTTGTCGTTTAGATCAATTGTCCGGATCCGGAAAAGACTAGATAACCGGAAATTTTCTGTTCGGATGTTTGTTCCGGTTCAGGATAACCAGCGATTTTCGTTCCGATTATTAAAAAAGAGAGGAATCTCGCTTCTTGACCTACCAAAATTCTCAACCTTTTCGTCAGCGGCGTTCAAAAATAAAGAAAGCTGTGTTTACATCTAAAAAAGAATGTTGAGTGGTTTGGGTTAGATATTGGGGGATCAAAGGGTTTTGGAGTATAGAAGGAATATCAGTGGATTTACAGGGATTAAGGCAGGATTAAAGTAGATAGAAGATTAGAGGGTTACTGTCATTAATCATTAATCCTCTCATTAATTCTTAAGTTTATTTTAAAATATACGAATTTTGACAAGGTAAATTTACTCAAAAATATAGAAAATACAAAAAATAAAGTACAAAAAAATTTGGATATTTTATTTGCCGGTTGTCGGACAAGAACAATATTTTGCATCTTCTCCATGTATTCCATTTGCCCCTCTCTATGATTTAAATAAATATATAAATTTATTTGTTAGTAACCTCTCCAGGCAATCCGGGCACTCCAGGTGTTCCAGGTAACCCAGCATTGCCGGCAGGACCGGGTGGTCCTGCCAAACCAGGAAGACCATTCTGCCCTTTTTCTCCTAATTTTTTAAATTTATTTTTATTTTAGAAAAAAGTTTACCTGGCCTTCCAGGCAGACCAGCTTTCCCAGTTTCTCCTTTCGGGCCTGGCTCTCCCTTTGAAGTAAATCCGTCTCTGCCGGGCTGTCCCGGCTCACCTTCCTTTCCTCTATCCCCAATAGGGCCTAAATCACCATGAGGTCCTTGAATACCAGGATGGCCGTCTCTTCCAGGATGTCCATTAACTCCTGGTTGTCCAGGGACGCCAGCCTTTCCAGCAGGACCTGGCGGGCCGACTGGGCCTGAATTCGTAATTTAATGAAGAATTATAGTTATGAAAGTTACCCGGTGGACCAGTCGGGCAACGAATACAACCAGCCTCCCTTCCATCCAAAAGTGAATTAACACCAGCAGCTCCTGGTAATCCAGGCACGCCTGCCTCTCCCGGCTCTATTAAAAATATGGAGTTAGAAATGAGGTTTCCTCAAACCTCCTTGTTCTCCTCTTGCCCCAGGAGCCCCAGGAAGTCCACGAGGGCACAATTCACTTCTTGACTGGCAATCTACGTTTATAATTTAATTTTTAAATTTAAATTTAAAAATTAACTGCATTTATCAACTTCATCAGCTAAATAAAGATCACGAGGAGAACGTCTTTTGGTCTCCAAAATATTTTTATTTTTGGAATATTTATTTTGTAAATTTAAAATATTATTCCAAGCTTCCTTATTTGTTACCTTTTTTTAATTAAAAAATTTTTTTGAAAATTTTTATGAACCGAAGATATTTCCAAATCAGCAACAATTTCTTCGTAAAGAATATTTAATTCATTAATTAACATTATCCCTACAAATCCACAACTAAAAATAACTCCAACAGAACAGAAAATTGCTATAGATGCTGCCAAACTGGAATGACATTTAATTGGAGAATTAAACTGCATTTTCTTAAAAATTTAAATTAAATAAAGCAGTTGAATCTCAAATATAAAATAACCCCATATGGCTGAAAAATAGTTCCTTATAATGATTGTATCTTAAATAGAGGCAGATTAGACAGTTTTTCACGTCCAGTGGCCAACTTAATTTTAGATGAGCGTCTCTTAAATAGAGGTGTATTTACTATTGGAGGGTATCTTATAGAGTAAGGCTGGCGATCAGTGCTGGACGCAATTGAAAAAAATTATCCGCGGACGCAATCCGCAAGTTAAAAAAACTCAATTTCACGCACCTCAATACGCAACTGCGTCCAGCCCTGCTGGTGATCCTGGGAGATCCGGGCGGATCCGAAATTTTCAGATATCCTCTCTTTTTCGGATTCGGATCCACCAACTTTATTATAGAGGGGGTTCACAATCGAAATGACTGCAGTGTATTTTAGATCAACAATTAACCAACTAACAATAAAATTGCTACAAAATTCCCTTACACATCTCTCATAATGAGGGAGAATTACCCTAGTAGAATATTTCATTATTTAACCAAAACTAATTATAAATTGGACAAAAATGTTTTTAGCTTAACACTGTTAACCTGTTTATTTATTTTTATCAATTCCAGTTTATACATAGAAATATTTATTTTTATAATAGAATATTTTAATTTTTAATGAGATCAATTGATTAAAGATTATCTTTTTTTTTAATTCAAAAATTTTTTTTTCTCTTTCATGTACAAAATAAACATAAATTCACATAAATTTAATATTTAAAAATAACGTAGAGTGCATGTATAATTCCAGGAATATAACCACAAATTGTTAGAAGGCTTAAAATTAAATGAAAAATTAATTTAGGCAATCTTCCTTTTTTGATAAAGTCAAATAATCTCGAGAAAACTTTGGACTGAATTATGGAGACGTGATATGGAAAGATTTCAGAGTCGATAGAGATTCCGATTTATGACTTCCGATTTCCGAAAATTTGAGCTGATTTCCGAGTTCCAACTTTTGAGTCATTTCCGATTTCCGATAGTTCTCCGATCGACCTCTAGTGCTATCGAGGGTCAAATCTCCCTAAACAGATTCCTCGGGATTTTGTGGCGTATTAAAGAGAGAGAGACGTGCTAACGAGGAGACGTTCTAACAGGATTCAGCCCCTAGTTGAAAATCGTCTCTTATAATGAGGTGTATCTTGAATAGAAGGTATTTTTTGAGTATCCCCTCACTCTCTCCAATAACCAAACAAATTTCAAAAAAAACGTCTCTTAAATAGAGGTTTATCCCATATAAGACACACCACTTTAAGATAACCTAGTATTGAGGGTATCTTACATAGAGGCTTGACTGTATTTATAAAAATTAACAAACATATTTATCAACAGATGAATTGAACATCCTTTCTCTACTAAAACACCAAGTGGCTTAAATTTAAAAATGTTTCTAAAAAATCTCCTTTTAAAAACTTACAGGAAATATAACTGCACAAATAATTTTAAAAATATCCGAACATGTACAGGGCATTTTAAAATTATTTTTGAATTAATTAAATATTTTAGAGAATAAACGTAAAAATAATAAATGGTTATTTAAAGCTATAAATTACTTGTTTCCAAGGAAATCCAATAAAAAATGGCAAAGACAAAAAAAAATTTTTTTTGAGAAAGAAGCCAACAGATATGCTTAAATGGAGATATAGAACATATAGAAATGTATGTGACTTTGAAAAATATAATTATAAAAATATTTATGTCCCTCACATTGTCATGGTTGGTTTAAAAAAAGGCTAATTGTTTGAGGGAAAGTTTTCTTAGAAATTTGTTTTTGTTTTTTTTTCTAACTGTTTTGTGTTCGACTTGCGGTCACGTTCGAACACCAACAGAAAAAATTAATTTTATATTTCTGTTGAATTTCTTTAAGAATTTTAAAGTTTTTAGAGCTTAAAGACTCTCTCTCTTATCATTTTAATTGTTTCGTCAAAAGTTTATTATTTTTTAAATTTAAAACAAAGGTTTTAACAAGTAGAAGACAAAACAAAGTCGAAAAAGACGAAATTTGCATGAAAACGGACAAACCATCACCCTCTCTTTCAACCACCCTTTTTTCCAACATTCCTGAATATGCGTACCAAAACGGAAACTACCAGCTTTCGTCTTTCATGGATTTCCGCTGCTTAGATGCTTAGTTTTTAACATGTTTAGTTATTCGCTCCTATCAATTTCTTTGCCTTCAATTCTTAAAATCCCGTTTTGTCACCCTCCCTTCCTTTTTTTAAATTTCTAATAAACTATTTATGTATTTATTTCATCATTTATTCGTTCCATCATTAAAAATATTTCAATTTTTAAATGAGTCACACAAACAAACAACCCTCTCCCTCCTCTCCTTTCTCTCATTTCCTCCCCAAAAAACCAGTATATTGTTTATTTACACACAACATGCACATATTTTTCTTCATTTTTTTATTTCCAACCGCCCTCCTTTATTTCATGAAAATTGATTTTTTTCGATAAAATTATATATTTACTCCATTTCCGTTTTGTTTATTTTAATTCTTCATCAAAATTTTTATTTTTAAGATAATATTTAAAATCTTTAAATTAGCCAAATTTAATTCTTAAAAATGCCGTTGACTTGCTCAGATTGTCCAAAGTTGTGTTGCTCTTTAATTATTCCGGTAAATTCTTTTTAATTTCTAGAATACTCCCAATAATGGGTGGACTTCTATTTAAGCTACTTTTATCTAAAATTTGGTTAGCCCGTCGGGAGGGGAAGCAGTCTAAGCAATGCCCTCTGTTTAACATATACTCATTATAAGAACCTTCTATATAAGACACACCTAATATTAGACACCCCTCTATTTAAAAATTGGTGGTTAATAGATGGAAGAGCTGCCTCAAGCAGAATCCTCTGTTTAAGATACACATAATAAGAGACCACTTTTTAAGCTCCAAGGGGCATCTACAAGTGATGTTTGACTGTATTTTTAACTTTAGGAAAATTTCTTATTATTATTTTAGCCGATCGGTGTTTGGATTGAAAAGGGCTGTTCAGTTCATTTGCTCGCCAACATAATACTTACAATTTGTGGCTACTTTCCTGGCTTAATTCACGCGATAATTATTATTTGTTATTACTAAAAATGAAAAGAGAAATTCAAAAAACAATTAAAAAATTTTTAAACAAATTGCTTATTTCACAGCCCTTGGTTTTTAAGGACAATTCCTTCCATTTAAAATATTTTTATAATTTTGGATGCTTATATGTATTGTTTGATATCAAATAAATTATATATGTGATTGTTAAAATATTTAAAAGTAATGTGTAAATGAAGGTAAAAAAAATCCGATAAATCCGGTAAATGTCCAGCTCGCGAAGGGAAGAAAGTAGGGTTGCGCCCCGAGCCTTCGGGGTTGAAAAAGTCGGGGGTCGGGGTTTTCGGGGTTGACAAAGTCGGGGTCGGGGTCGGGGTTGCTCAAATTGTTCGGGGTCGGGGTCGGGGCTGAAAATCATGTCGGGGTTCGGGGTCGGGGTCGGGGGTCGGGGTTGAAGTGAAAATTTACAAAATCCAGCATTTTTATCCAATATTACTGTGCAAAATCAACATTTTTATTAAAAAATCAACTTAATCTTCATTATCTTCACTTTCTAAATCTAATTCGTTATTAGTTGAAGGCGCAAGAAGTACTTTATCCAAGTTATCCTTCATAATCCCCAAAATCCCCAAACCCACAAGGTAACTCTTACTCCCCCTCTTAAAGGGAGTGAGGGGATATGAAGGCATATCAGAGGATATTTAGAGGGATTTGAAGGGATATCGGGGATTTGCAAGTATAACTGGAGAAATCCATCTATCCATCAATTTCTCCTAAAGCCTCTGTATCCCTTCATTGAGTTTAGCGCCGCAGGCAAAAATTTTGAGAATTTTGGAAGGTCAAGAGCCAGATCTCTTCCATTTTCTGCGCCGCAGGCGAAAATTTTTAGAATTTAGGAAGGCCAAGAGACAGATTTCTTCCATTTTCTACGCCACAGGTGAAAATTTTGGAAAATTCATGACTAGTTTAAAATTTCTAAAATTTTTTCAAGTTTAAAATATTAAAAAAAATAAATTTGCATATTTAAAATCAAGATCAAAGTTTAAAAATATTTATTTTTGAGAAGAAAAATTTTCTCAGTCTCATTTCAATCGATGTATTCGAACACCATACCTATCAAAATAGCTAGATGGGTGAAGTCAGTTAACCTAACCACTCGCCCACCGACCAACAAAAGGAAATAGGAGAAATTATAAATATTCATTTCCCTTTTCCTTCATATATTTAACATCAAAGTCCCGATCCCGTTCCGATCTCTAGTTAATTAATGCAGTTTGAGTCGGGGTCATAAAAATTTTTCGGGGTTCGGGGTCGTCGGGGTCGAACTTTCGGGGGTCGGGGTTTTCGGGGTTGGGAATGTCGGGGTCGGGGTCGGGGTTTTAGGTCAAAAAGTGTCGGGGTTCGGGGTCGGGGTCGGGGTTAGTCGGGGTCGGGGCGCAACCCTAGAAGAAAGGCAAAGGAGAAGATTGCAGCAAAAATTATTCTTGCAGCATGCCCTTTGTAGACATGTATTTGGGTCTACAATTCTTCCTTAATTTTAACTATTAATGTTAATTAGGGACAAAACTGTTCCGATCGTCTAAATCGGAAATTGACCTTTCTATGTTGGCAAGCCTAGATAAAATACCGTAGTTTCTCCAATTGAGCGGCGGCCTCTATTTGAACGGCGGTCTCTAATAAGCGGCACTTCGAGAGGGATGAGAAAAATAGAGCGGCATGCCGCTATCAGAGAAAATAGGGTAGACAAAAATCTAATAACGAACAACCTCTGGTTCTATGATTGTACTTTTAGAGATTGAATACAAAAAATAATTACTCGAGATCACCTAATCATCTCTACTTACAAAATATTTGGGTCTATAAAGAAAATAATTTATGCTAGCTTTAAAGCGAAACGACAACATTTGGTAAACAAAAAAGGGAAACTTTAGACACAAAAAAGACATTTTATCCAAATCACATCTCCTAAACATTATTATTCCTTTACTTTTTAGGTTCTTCTCCCTCTTTCTTATCTCCTTCCCCTTCTTTCTTTTTATCTCCTTTATCTTCTTCCTTCTTCCCTTCTTTATTTCCTTTAGAAAAGAATAATTTGTAAGAGAGAAAGATAACGCCACCAATAAGGCAAACATTCAAAAGTCCCAAAACAACATAGAACGGCATAAGCGTTTTTGAACAAGTCTAGAAAAAGAAGGGGTTTTCAAAGAAAATTTTGAAGAATTCTACCGGTTCCTCATTCCCCTCCACAAATCCAAAAACAATAAACACCAAAAATGTCGAACGAAGCAAACTTCCAACAAACAGAGAAACAGATCTAGAAGGCATTTTTTGCAAAACAAAGTTGATTAAATAATTAAAGTTGGCAAAGTGTTTTGTTGATATAGAGTTGAATTAAAGAGATTTTTTAAAATCGAGCTTTTATAGTAAAACTTGGGAAGGCTGACTTTATTGCAACTCAACAATTCTTGATTTCAAAAAAAGCTTATTTAATAAGTCACTTGATATAGTTAATTTTTTAGACCCATTTCTAGATTTTTTTTCTTTTCTTTTTAGATTCATTTCTAGTTAACTCAGTTCATGAAACGATTTTTAGTCCTTCTTGTAATCTCAAAATTTATTCTTCATCCAACTATCATCTACGCGTATTTCTGTCTGCGATATTTGTGGAGTCTTGTACATAAAAACCGTCAAAAAGAGTAATACATTTCTGATTTTTGTAAAAGTTGGAAAATTTTTAAGAAAATATCCTCACACTTCTGCGATAATTTAAAAACCCCCAATTTGTTATTGATATGATTTTTTGAAAATCAAAAAAGAGTTAAGAATTTGTTTTAAAATACAGTCTATCCTCTTTCTAGGATATACACAATATTAGATCCACTTCTATTTAAGCTACGTTGTTTTAATTTGGTTGGACGCTGTATGTGGGGAGCTATTCAAGATATCCACAAGATACACCTAACTATACCGTACAATTTTTTCAATCCCAAGGGTGTACCATAAAGTTTTATTCTGTTTTTAAAAATTTGTTTCTCAAATTTTTCTAATATTTATTACATAGAATACATAAATTTTGAATTAAAAATTCATTAAAATTTAGCTGATCTGTCAGACTCTTTATTTATTTTTTTCTTTCATCCCCCTTTATTTTTTATCCAATTTCCTTTCATCATTTTATGTAATACTCCTACTCCATTTTTAAGGCCTACTACATTTTTTCTATGCATTTCCAAATTTTCTCATTAAATTTTGCCTTCCATTTTCTTTGTCTTTTCTAATCGGCTAAATTGTTTTTGCCTTTCATTTTCTTCCAAAAAAATTTTTTTTCATTTATTCTCTTCCCTTTGCGCTTTTTTCAGTTAAATTGGATTTTCGTGCCAACCACTAAATAACCTTTTTTTCAAAAAAATATTTTTTTCCCATAAATTTCTTTGTTTTGACATTATATCCCTCCCTATTTTTTGACAAATAAATAGTAAGAGAAATAAATAAAAAACAGAAAGAGAAGTAGAGTAATATGATGTAGATGATTGGGATCTACCCAAAAGATCACCTCCCTAAAGGACAACGTTTTAGGCTCCCGGCCAATACGTCAATGGACAATCGGTCAGTAAGAGATAAAAATTCACTGATATCTCTCCAAATCAGCTGATCTCCATCTTAATCCAACCAAATAACTTAATATCGTTGTTAATCCTCCCAAACCCGAGATATCGACCTTAATCCCAGCAAATCCCTCCATATCTCTTTTAAGCTCCAAAATCCCTTTTTAAATACTCTTAATAGGTTTGTAGAACTTTTGAGACGCATAATCAGAGAGAGCATGAGCCATGCTAAAAATGCAATATGCTACAGAATATTGGCCAAGATCCACAACCATCTGTTGCTTGGCGCTCCCATCTTTAGTATAATTTATATCAATACTGACCGATTGTCCACTGACGCATTGTCCGGACAACACTTTATAGGGCAGTTGATTTTTAGGAGGGTGATCTCTTGGGTGGGGAACTAGATGATTCATAAATAAAATATAAATTTATTTATTCTCGCCCACTTTTTTTTAACTTCTGTTTTTTTGTCATTTATATCTTTTTTTTGGCTACGTTCTTAAATTTCTTTTTTTTTCTTATTAAAAAACTATAAATTAGTTTTGTAAAAAGAAACAATTTCCAGAACGAATAATCATTTATATGTACGTATGTTTAGATAGTTTATTTTAACCAAGTTTCTGGTGACTAATAAAAGTTTTAAAAAATATAAATATAGGGTTATTTTATTTATTGACATCATTTTTTTAAATAATATGTATAATCTAAGAAAAAAATTTTTTTAATACACCTCCATTTTAAGGCCTAAATTTTCTTGTGCATATCAAAAATTTTTTATTAAATTTTGCCTTCCAATACACATAATTTTAGAAAATATATTTAATTAATTAATTATTTTATTTTTCAGTCAAACTTCAATATTGTGACTCCCCACGATTTAACAAAATCCTGGATATAACCAATTTTTTCTTTGATCCCTTCGATTTTGTTAAATCGGGATTCGAATTAAATACCTTTTAATTTTTTTCCAATTTTTATAACAAATAGCCTATCTCTTCTAAAATTTAGATAAGCTAAGGAGAAAATAATGAGTAGGAGAAAAAGAAAGAATAATAACAAATTCCCATCTGACACAAATTACATTAATATTATATAATTATTTTTCATGCCAAATTCTTATAAAATTCTTTGACATTTTTTGAAATTAAATTAGTTTAACGTCCATTTATTAATTAAAAGAATTTAATTTTCTTTTAATTATCTTTTAATTATTTTATATTATTTCTAAAAATATCTTGGTGCTATCCCTTGATGCTGAAAATATTGTCTCTCACCACCCTCTCACTTCTAAACAATTTAAAAAAATCGTAGCGTAAAGACATCGATTTTAAATTTGAGGTGAACTATGTATTTAAGCAACATACCCCCAATTCTATATACCCCTCGTTTTTAAATACCCTTTCTTCAACGCCAGTGAGCATGCCGTTTTTGGTATTTTAAAAATTGAGGTTCACCTATATTTTTATTTATAACATTCATTTACTTCATTTTTTATATACCTATTTATATAATAAATATTTTTGGAAAGAAATATTTATTTATTTTTGTCATCTTCTCTTCTCATGATACAAGTCAATATATAAAAAAGCAATCAAAAAATTCTTCTTAACTTTTTGTAAATAACTTGGTTAACCCAAAAATATTTTTTTTATCATATGCACAAAAAAAAAAGAATAAATATTAGGTGAGTTTAAATATTTGCACCCACAAATTTATCTCTAAAAAATTATTTTTGGTTTTTGGACATTTTGTCGGTGTGGCACCGTAAAAAGAAAGATAAAATAATTTATGACCAAATAAAAAAGATAAGAAAATTAAAAATAATATTTTTTCCATTTTAGTTTGTAGTATATAGAATTTATTTAATATTTATGTTTTTAATATAGTCAGACTTCAATTAATGCGTACCTCCAATTAATGTGTACACAGCATACGTTTTTTACCATTATATGGAGAAGGGCTAAACGATATCCCTATTTTTGTCTCTTCTAGTATTCGAGTTTTTCAACCCCAAGAGTGTATACTAGAAGAGCCCGGACCAGGGGTGAGTGCAAGAGGCAATCGTGAAAAACGCGACGCAAGGCCAAAAATCAACGCAAAACGCAATGCGCTCACCCCTGGGCTGATACGTTTTTTTATCGATATTTATCGATACTTTTTGATATTTATCGAAAATATCAATTAACCCCTCCGTCCGGGCTTTAGTGTATACATAAGTAAGGTCCGACCACCCAACCGACCATCTTTATCAACAACCTCAACCCCCATATGTATATCGAATCGAATAACCCTTATACTATTGAACTAAAAATTTAAATTTGAAATTTAAAGTTAACTCCTCGCCTCCTAAAATAGGGAGGAAATGTTCATTGATACACAAATATTAACGAAAAATCAAACGATTTCTTCGACCCAGTTAAACATAATAACCCTGTGAATTTGCCTAAATTTAAAGTGCTCTTTTAATATTTTGTTGATTGATCCCTTCAAAAATTAAATTTAACTCTAATTTACCCTAAATATTTTCCCAAACTACTAAATACTTTTAATGATTCACATAAATTTTGGAATTTTATTTTTATTTCATTTGGGGGGTTTTATGTATAAGTATTTATATACAAATATATTTTGATTTAAATCATTCATTTTTAAAACTAAAATTACAATAAAGAGATAAAAATCTAAACTTAATTAATTACAGAATTGCCAGACTATTTTATTTTTTTATTTTTTTAATTAGAAATATTTTGAATATTTTTTAATTGATGTAAATCGTGTCACGGCAAAACTCCGTCCAGACAAAATTCCGTTTAGACAAGACTCCGTCCAAGATTAGGGGGAAGGTTGCTCCAACCAGGCCATGGATACGGACATGGATACAGTTAAGTTCAAAATGCCTGCGGATATCCGTCTGTATCCGTTGTAAATATCCGGAAACGGACACCAAAATCCATGTCCATTATCAAGTCTGGTTCCGAATATGGGGAAGAAATATTTGAAATAAACAACTTTGGAATGAACATCTTTGTTGGAATAATCCTCCCCGCAGTTGGAACAGATTTTTTTCTTTGGACGATATTTTGAACTGACGGAGTTTTGTTGAGATAAGGTTTTGCCTCTATGCAAGTTTAAATTTCAAGTTGTTTCTAAAATGTTCGTTGATTTCCAGGTTTTATCCGGCTCCGATTTTTTCGATATTTATTTAAAAATCGATATCAAAAATTTTTAATTTTTCCTTTTGAAATATTTTCAGTCGAGCATTCCCACCGAGCTCTAATTTAAATATAATAATTTTTCGGGGTCATAATCTGATTATCTATGTATTAAAATTTAAAAAATAGCCCCAAATAATCTCTCAAATATTTGCCCATTCAAAGTTTGATAATGGCCACTAATAATTTTCTTTTCTCTATATTTTCTCTCTCTCAATAATTATTTTGACCATTCCCTTCCCCCAAACTTCCCCCAACGGCCGCCACCAACGGAGAGAGGTTCCCCCGCTCATTCAGCGCAATCTTTGTCTTCATTTTCTCTTCATTCCCCTCTTGATCTTTTTTCTTCCTTTCTCTTTTTTTCAATATTTATAGGAAGGACAAAGAATAATATAATAAAATATCCCCCCTATAACACCAACATTGAACATATTTTCATCCCTTTTCTCCTCTCCATTTACCCCCCCCCCCCCTTCCATTCCTTTAGGCTAATCCCTTTCTACAGTGCCGGAAAAAAAGATAGGACCAGACGCATACATTTTCCTTTCTTCAAATTATCTTTCGAATTTTAGCCTTTTAAGAGAAAAAATTTGTCAGAAACTATTGATTAATTTATACTCTATCAAATGAGTACAAATATTCCCTTTTTTATTAGCAATTAATACTACAAAACATTAAAAACAAATACTACTCAATTTTTGGGGTGGAAAAAAAGATAGGACCAGACTAGAAATATCGACTTTTGTTCGGTCAAAAATTCTATAAAAATTTTTATGAACATTTCCATCGATACTAAGTGGAAAATTAAAAAGAGCGAAGTCTGTAACTTATTTCTTCACCGAGATCTCACATCTCGAAAATCAACGGAAAATTGGGGTACAGTACTTAAAAAAATATTTTAACCCCCTAGAGCTTAAATTAAAAATTTTATTTTAGGCCTACCTGAAAGCCCATAAAATTTACTACAAAATAGTCCGGAAATTAATCTTTCTAAAAAAATATCCGTTTAACCCTAGTCCACTTTACATTAAAAAGTGACAAAATCTCCCAAAATACCCCAAAAAAGATAACTTTCTCAATTTCCCGGTCCGTATCTCCATGAATTTTTTAACGGAAATTTTAAACGTGAGATATTCTTGTAGCAAATTTTATGGGCTTTCAGGTAGGCCTAAAATAAAATTTTTAATTTAAGCTCTAGGGGGTTAAAATATTTTTTTAAGTACTGCACCCCAATTTTCCGTTGATTTTCGAGATGTGAGATCTCGATGAAGAAACAAGGTACCGACTTCGTTCTTTTTACTTTTCCACTCAGTATCGGTGGAAATGTCTACAGAAATTTTTATAGAATTTTTGACCGAACAAAAGTCGATATTTCTAGTCTGGTCCTATCTTTTTTTCCACCACAAAAATTAAGTAGTATCGTTTAAATTTTTTTGTAAAAAATTTTGTGGGTAAATTATCTTGATATTTATACTCATTTTAAAGACCATTTAAAGATCTACAATTTTAGTGTTGAAACTTTTTTTCTGAAAGTTAATAGAAAAGAGGTAATCGATAAAAACAAATTAAACAGCCTCTGGTCCTATCTTTTTTTCCGGCACTGTATATTACATTGTCAATAATATTTATACACACATTCCACTCATTCATTCCCCCCACTTTTCATTTTTCTTCATAAACTAGAACACTTTCCCCAACTTTCATTTACTTTTTTTAACACAAATTAATTCAAAAAATATGCAGTACATAAAAGCCATTGAAGGCGAAATGCTAAAACCAACACGTGGATTATTGGTCCGTAATTGGACTGAAGATGTCGTTAATTTGGTTCAATATCCGCGAACTCATTCTGTTGTTAATGCATCTCCGTTTTGTGTAAAGTTGGAAACTTGGTTGCGTATTACTGGAATGAAACACAAGGTAGAGTTGGATTTAAATAGGAGCTTGGCAAAATATGCGGATTTTTGTGTGTTTTACCAAGCTGTATTGAAAATTCTAAAATATGACATTCATATTTTCCACTGTTCTATTGAACTTTTTAGACGAACTTCTATAAATTATAAACACTATAGAACCATTAAAATGAAAATTAAGATTAAGGGAGATGGAAATTTTTTAATAGGAGCTCGGCAAAACATGGGGGGATTTGCACGTTTAGCCAAGCTCTAAGAAATTAGTTTGAAATTTTATTTTTTTATCAATTTAAGAATACCGACAACGAAATGACAAAAGCATCATCAAAAGGTCAACTTCCATTTATCGAACTTAATGGAAGGCAATTTGCGGACAGCAATTTTATTATTGACCATTTGAAAAGTCATTTTAAATTAACAATAGACGAAAATTTGAGTGACCGGGAAAAGGCTGATGCTCGAGCATTTACTATTCTTATTGAGGAGTCGCTCTTTAGGTAGAAAATATTTTTTCACTTTATGACCCTTCAGAAGGAATATCCGGAAATTTCTTAAATGCTGAAATTCTTCCTTTTAAAATAAGACGAAATCTCCACCCAATAAACATATGAAAAACATGTTCTAATTGTACTTTGTTCTTTCCTTCCTATAAAGAACATTTTTCAATTTTCCTTTATTTCCAGCATAGATTATTGTATTTAATGAATGATAGATAATAATTTACAGGCTGAATTGCCGAAAAAGAGCAGGGCAAATATTTGAAAAATGTTTCTTGCCTTTGTCAGTGATACATATAAGACAAAACCCAAGTATGGGAAAAAGTTTTTAGATGGCTGGGTTTTCGCCTATTTCTGTCTCTTACCTTATTAAACCCTAAAAATCATCAAAAAAACCAATTTTAAATTTTTAGATGTTTGGCATATGATCGAGCAAAAAGTTTTGGATGGTTAGCAACAGATAAGGGTATTTTGCCTTTGCAAGCCCTCCAAAAATTCTTTTTCCAAAAAATTCTTCTCAAACAATTGGAGAAACGAGTTTTGATTATTTTTTAAATCTAAAAAACAGAAAATTTTGTAGATTAAGAATCAATTACATGCACAAGGTTATGGACGTCATTCACCTGAGGAAATTGAAGAAATTGCAAAGAAGGATTTGACAGCATTGTCTACACTTCTAGGGGAAAAGTCTTTTATGTTTGGTGATATTCCATCAACTGTGTGTTTTTTTGTTTTCAATATTAGGGGAATCTACTTACTAATAAAAATATCCTTTAGAGATTAGTCAAAGTTAAAGAGAATTAATTTGTGCTATTTGCCTCACCGGCCCACTGCAATGATGCCCCCTTAATGATAGATACCAGGGATCTAGCCGACATAAAAATTGAACTACCGATTTTCGGGAATCAGAGGGAGAGTTTTCTAAACGATGCTCACTATTTAGCAAGCAGCAAGATTGGAGACCGGACCGTGACGAGATCGTAACCAAAAATCCCAGTTATCGCTATTGATATTCTTCGTGATATCGTATGATTCTCGTAGGACACTTTGCTTACGGTCTCCGCCTCAAATACGATTATTTCAATTACACGGGTATATCTTATAGGGAAGCTTTCAGATCTAATGTCTTAAGGATACTTTTGGGTCGATTGAGTGATTTTATTTGCCCTTTTTTACCTTAATTTTTATAATTTAGTTGGATGCAACGGCTTTTGGTCTTCTAGTTCAATTTACTGATGCTCCAATGACTTCCGATAAAATTAAAACTTTTATGGAACAAAATACACCAAATTTGGTTGAATTTGTTAAGCGAATCAAAGAGCGTTATTGGCCAGATTGGACGCAACTTTGTGAGACTTTGGCGCTCAATCCTGAGGATATTAAAAAGGAAGAGGAGCAAAAGAAGGAAGAAAATAAGGAGGTGGAGAATGCTGAAACTCCAACCGCTGCTTTACAACAACCAACGGAGACTGCTGTGCCTACTCAGGCTTAAATATATAATTCCAAATATAAATTCATCGAGAAAGATAAATTAAAAATTTTGTTTTTTAATAAATACAGTTGGACTCCCTTTTTCAATTTTGAGAGCTATTGATGCATTTTGGGCGTTTCGTGGGGTCCCAGCATACATGTATTTCAAAATCTACTCCAGAAACTACTCTCCTGAGCTATGGGGATGATGGGGACTGAATGGGATGGGGACTGAATGGGATGGGGACTGAAAAAAAAACACCCACTGAAAACTGATGGGGACTGAACAAATTGTTAAATAGCTTAAGATATCATTTAAGAAGCCTCCCTCATTAATCTTTAAAAAGCTATTGAGTTCCAACTGTATTTTGCAATCTTTAAGCCTTTTATAATTTTTTCATTTATATCAGCATTCGAATTATATAACTTTTAATTTAACAAATATAAAACTTTGTTTTTTAAATATATTTTTGGCATTAAATAAAGCTTAGAATTTAAATAATCTTTATGTTACTCCTCGGAAAGTTACGAAAGAATTAGCTTCAAAAAATTATTCTCTGTTCCCCTTATGTTTTTCCCTAGTATGTGTGTTTGAAGATTAAAAATATTCTCCGAAATTTGAAACAATTTTGTAAGATTTTTTTAAAAATGGGTTGAAGCGGTGGTCTCGTGTTTCTTCTCCATATGGCAAGATGGGTCTGAGAATTCTTTGGTTATTTTTCTAAAACAATGGAGTAATAGTAATAATTAGGCTGGCTGTCCTGGGAAAATCTTAACCCGAACCGGAAATCTCTCTGGAACTGGACTGAAAATTTCCGGAACCGCAAATCTTAATAGTAATGCGAGTGTAGACTTTGCTTTTTTTTTCGAAGACTAAAATAGGCAGTTGAAAGGATTAACCAACTTATTAAAAAACCAAAAGAAATATTTATCAGACTTTCATTTAAAAAATATCCAGTTTATAATAATAATATAATTATCAGAAACAAATTATGGAATATATAGAGAAAGAAAAAAACAAAAAAATAAATATATTTATTTTTTAAAATATATTTTTTTTAATTAATTAAAATTTTTCAAGGTGATAATTCCCCTCGTTGCAATTTATTGTCACTTGAATTATTCTCAATTTCTGTCGTCGTTTCTGTTTTAGTAATTGGTTCGCAACCACCACTACCATTATTACAACCATTTAATAAAGGAGGAGAAGAATTGACAGGAATTGTTGGAATTTGAAGAGGAAGTTCGCTAAGAAAACGATCCAAATCTCTATGTTTGTCCAAATCGTGATAACTGTCAGCAAAAGTCTTTTTAATTTCTTGGAAAATACGTTCATCATAAATTGAATGAGCAGCATTGCTTAATGTAAATGGCTCTTCAATACAAATACAATGCCATTGAGAAAGTGTATTGAATGGAGACTTGAAAAGAAAAAAAGTTTTTTTATTTAATTTTTTAGAATTAAAGATGGTGTTGTTATATCTCAGCTATTATCCTAGTTTTGAGACTACTTTGGATTCTGAATCTATAGGAATTGGAACTAGACGGGGGAATTGGGTCTAGAGTTGATAGGAAATCGGTCGACCAATTCAAAAACATTTAACTTTTTGGTTTGTTTCTTTGATGTTGTACACATTTTCGAAATTCTAGGGACCAGAAAAGTATGTATTAATAGCTAACAGAATGCCCTGAATCTTAATACAACCACTAAAACTCGGTAAATCAAAGCATATAAAATGGCTTACGAACATCACTGACAAAAATTATATCAAAAAATTACTAAAAATTTGTATACCTGATTCTGCATCGCTTGTGCTCTATCCATCTTCCGTCCCATTCGAATACTTATTGCGTCAGTTTCAAAACTAGAAAAATTAAAAAAAATTATTTTAAAAAATTCTTTTTAAATTTCCTACTTAAATTCATAAGCATAATAATGAAGAAATCCAAGAAGTAATTCTCCAAGAGAAAGTCGTTGATCAAAATTCCAAACTTGGCTTGGAAGAGGATCCAATGGTTGCGAAACATTAAGAAGACGAACATCAATTTTTTCAGAAAAACGTTTAGGATATAACATTTGAAGTGAAGGAAGTACTGGAGGATTAGCCCCACATTGTAAATAATGAATAACCATTAAAACAAGCGAGTAAGAAGTGAACGACGATTGGCTTGCATTATTTATGTTTCGACATTTTGCCCATTCTTTAACAACCATAACAATTAAACGAACACGCCAATCAACTTTAAAAATAAAAAAAATTTTTTTTGAAAATTTTAAAAATTGAAAGTTTTGGGGTATTTTAAAGGTAAAAAATATTCTTAATCACCTAATTTTTAAAAAAAGCTGGAAATACCGCAAAGCCAAAAACTAAACGCAAAGCCAAAAACTATACCGCAAAGCCAAAAACTAATACCGCAAAGCCAAAAACTAAACGTTTATGTCAGAGCATGTTAATCTTCGACGCAGTTAGGTGAAATAGGATAATCATGCCAAAATCGACTAACTCCGACTTTTATAAGTTTATTGTTAGTTAAGAACTTTGCGGAAGACGGGACCAGGTAGATAAATGTGTAAAAAAACCACTTCATTTTCAAAGATTCGAATCAGACCCGGATCCTTGACACTGAAGAAAATTGGGTTAGTCGAGGGTGTTCGGGCCTCTGATTCTATCCCAAAACCCAGTATGCCCACACAAAACTTTAAAATCAGAATCAAGGCAGGTTCGAACTGTCGAGCTTTTACTATTTTTTAAAAAATCAAAAAAAACTTACAGGCACTATAATAACAAAGTAAATGAGTGTTCCTAATTGCCACAGAATTATTAACATTTAAATCAACAATAATATCAGAGAAAGCACCCCCACATTTAATTCGAAGAATTGGCACTTTAGCTGGAATTAATTGTTGATCAACAACCAACATTGTAGTTTTCAGTGTTCGCATAACAGAAGAAAGAACAACAACAGCATCACTTTTTTGGTCAATCTTTAAAAATTAAAAAATATTGTCGAACTCATTTATCAATCATCAAAAGTCCATCGTAATTGATGACATTAGATCCCCTACTTTTAGGGGGTAAAATCCATAAATAAGGGGGAGGGGCTGTCTAGAAAATCTTAAATTTAGTTGGCACTTTAGGGATTGACTGTTATCCCGTAATTTTTATCCCGTAAAATCTATAAATGGAGGGGGAGTGTCTAGAAAAATGCCAAATAAGTTGACCATCCCCACCCAGTGGTAAACTAAATTTAACAAAAAAAAATATAGAAGAAAGGCACATTGATTTTGGGCGTATCTTCCGATAAGGGGAATTGACATATCTTGTAAATAATTTTTGAGATAACTAAAGATGAGATACGACTTTTAGGGGGTAAAATCTATAAACAGGGGTGTGACTGTCTAGAAATGTTAAATTTAGTTAACCACCCCCTACCCAATGGCCAACTAATTTGAACAAAAAAGGCAGCTTGAATAGGGTGTGTACCTACTACTGGGTGTATCCTACAATGAAGGGATTACTGTTTTACTTGTAAATTCTGAGAAACTGAGAGGTTAACCTATTCAAAATTCCCCAAAAAAATTAAAAAACAAACAAACATCTCTATTTGTAATCATTAAACAAAGATCCAAATCGGAACGTAAAGTGCCGAAACCATTCAGTGAAGAGCCAACAATATACAAACCACACACTAAAAAGACATTGTTAAAAGAAATAAATTTAAAGAAAATACATGGAAATATTGGTGATATAGCATAATAAAGTTGATCACGCAAAAGCAGTTTGCGATTCAATTGCATTTGATTTTGCTCTGTATTTTGATGAAAGTCATAAATGCGTTCACTCAACTTTAAAAGATAAATATATAAAGGCTTGTTAGTGTTCTAAAGGGAGCTTAAAAGGCCGTCGGTTTCCCCAGGCCGTCGGTTCCCTAGGCCAACGGGTTCATAATCCCTTTTGTTTCGGTTTGGTTTCAAAGTTTCAGGTTCTGGTCCTTTAGAGTGGTTAAACGGAGAGCTTTTAACCTCAACCTATGTGTCCCTTTTACCACATTTGGGAGGCATTTGCCCTCTTTTTGGCCTTCTCGCCCCTTTTTAACCTTTTCTGAAAATGGAAGAAATTTTGCCGAAAACCAACCGAAACTAGAGGAAATTTCCCAGTTTAAATTTTCAAGGTTTAAATTGTGGTTCAAGTCCTTGCCAAATGTTCGGCCCGATCGGAACACTAATCTAATTAAAAAATAAACTCACAACATCCATTCGGGAAATCCCACTAGGACTTATTGGCACTTTGGATGAATAATGCTGAAATTGTTGTTGAAGCATATTATTGCTCTTTTCAGTGTTTCTAGTACTTCCGCTACTTGAATGCCGAATACGGAGAGCCATTTGCTCATCAGTGAGTGCTGGATTAATAAAAAGGATGGGGATTGTCATTGATTAGAAAACGAAAAAAAATTTTTAAAGACAACCTTCCGAGCGAAATTTTTTTATTTTTTAAATTTAGCCTAACTTTGTACCCCAAAACTTGTAAAATATACAACCATCATAATTTTGATTGACAGAAGAAAATAAATAAACTTCTTACTAAGAAAATGAATCAATAAATTATTTAATTTCTAGAAAAATCGTATTTATAAGAAAAATAATTAAACAGAACGCCAAACCCTTGAATATTTAAATTTAATACTAGCACTCTTTTAAAGATGTTCTCACTCTTAGAAAGTTTTTAGGAACCAAGAAATTTTCAAAAATAATTTGGCAGGAACCCGGGGTAATTATTTAATGGGTACAGCCCATTTTCTCGCGACCACTTTGTCGCAGGCCACATTGTCGCAAAGGTCTTTTTTCAGGACGCTTAAAACTTAAAATGTCAGGCTCTGTAATGATTGGGTCAGTGACAATCGAACAAATTCACTATCTTTTACTTAAGATGCTTAAGGAATAATAAAAGAAAAATTAATCTGGGAACCAAATAGAGAAGGGGTGGGTATTAAATAAGTACCGGATCCGGCCCGACCTTATTACACCATTAAAAATCCGATTTCCGGATTTTTTTGCCGGAAACCACTTACCGTATTTGCTGAAATAATGTCCCTCTCTCAAATAATAACCCCTGCCCTATTAATTACCCCCTATAGCCAGAGATCGAAAAAATGATTACCCCCTTAAAAATAGTTATAATTAGCCTTTTTAAAAAAGCTCAATTAATTACCCGCTCCCTTTTAATTACCCCCTTCAGCGAGAGGTTGAAACAATTACTCTGTGTAATTATTTTAGTAAATACGATATAGTTAGAGAATGCAACGAGTCTATAGTCTATCAACCATGAGGGACCCAAAAATTCTGAAAAAATTTCTGAAAAAATTACCTTACAAGTTTTTACAGTACTGTATTTTAATAAAAAAAATATTTTCAGTAATTGTTTATTAGGAAATAAACGTTAAAGCAAATAAAAATATTTTTCTTTTTCTCTCTATTTTATTTTTAAATTTTTAAAAAATTCTATATTTTTTCACTTCTCTATAAATTTAAAAAATATACCTATACACGTTTCTAATAAAAAAAGAAATGATAGTTGTATTTTTTTAAATTTTCTCTAAAAAAATTTTATATTCCTCCATTCCCTCCCCCTATTTTTGTTACAACAATATTTACCAGAATTTTCTTCCTCATATTTCCCCTCATCATCTTCCTCATCCTTTTCTTCTTCTTCACAATAACGTCGAGATATTGAAAGTCTTAGAACGGCATTTCGAGTAGCTCTACTCATTCTAACAATTCTTCTATCAAATGTTAGAGGAGAGTTTGGGGTACTTGAAGTTGCAGAATTGGCAGCACTGCTGCTACCTGCTTGGTCGTCATCAACAATTTCCGAATCTTCTTCTTCAAAACAATCATTTTCTAGTTTTGTTGGTTCTTGTGTTGTTGGAGTATTTGTGCCGCTACTTCTTGTTCTTGTTGGGGGTGTAGATGTCCCCGTCTCTGTTTCACCCGAATACATCGACTCAACACCCGAACTGCTGCTAGGACAACAACAAACACTGTCGGGCGGTAAAGGCTCTTCTGTTTCTGATTCGCTAGACGAATAAATTGTTGTTTTTGTGGAAGAAACTAAGCTGGGTAAACAATTAATGTCGTTTTTCTCTTCTTCATATTCCTCTTCTAAAGGTAAAAACGCTGCTCTCTCTGCTTCAATAATACCTTTTATGTCCAACAATCCCAACAAAATTATTTGTCTAGTCCAACTAACGCTTGGAGCAACTGATAGCAAAGTTCTTTCAACAGGTATTGTAAGAAGAGGGATAGTTAGAGGAATTGGTGTTAGTCGACGATCGTCTCCAAAAAAGTGCCAATTTGGAAGTTTTCTGAATAGGGGGTTATCGAAAAGAAGTCGACGATGACAACGATCGTTGTTGCTTTGGGTAGTCTTTTTTGTTGTGTCAAAAATTAATTTTTCTTCTTTTCCCTCCTCATTTACTTCCTTTTTTTCTTCTTCCTCATTCTTCTTTACTATAAAAGGAATATTTTTATTACAATTTTTTAGTTGTACAAGAGTAAAGCTAAGTTTACTTTCTGTTGCTTCTTCAACCTCATTTATTTGTTGTCCTAATAATCTTTTATGTCCACCCATAGGCAAAAAAGGAACTAGACTATTTTTGTTATTGAAAGGTGAAAAAGGGGTTGTAGTTGTTGTTGTTCCCCCTCTTTTAGTCCATTCAATTGGAATTGAAGTTTTTGGAATTGTCAAAGGGTTAAAGACTGTGGGTAATTCAAAAACAACAAATTGGGGGTGTTCTGTTGTTTCTGAAGAAGAAACAGGAGTTGTTTCTGTTGTCATTTTTCGTTTAAATTTTAATTAAATCGAAAAAGTTTTTAGTTGTTTTAGCAAAAATAAAAGTATTTGTTGTCTTTTAGGTATCCTTAAATGTTCTCCTTCCCCTCTTCCTTTAATTATTGTCTTATTATTCGGCAAATTAATTTGTTTTTTAATTTTAATTTCTTTCCTGGTGGTCACTTTTATTGTTTTTACAGGCCGGATCATTCGCCGTCAAAAACAAGAAAAGAATAAATAAAAATATTTTTTTTAATTGTTTAAGAAATCTAAGAAAAAAAAATAAAAAAGGAATGTAAAAATGATCAAATTACTGGGGCTGCAAGAGCAAATCAACTAACTCTCTCTAAAAGTAAACCGATCTTCCGTAGATTCTTCGGTCAATCGGGGGGAGAGAAAGAGGTACACCCCAACCTACCGCGAGTCCAACCTACCGCCGAGGCTATAACTTCGTTCAAAATTGTCGAATCTGAGACAACTTAGTATGGTTGGATTCAGCTCGTCGAGGCGTATCGAACCATACCAAGGCGTCCCGGATTTGACAATTCTGAAAGAAGTTATAGCCTCGGCGGTAGGTTGGGCTGCGGTAGGTTGGCCTGCTCCCGGGAGAAAGAGAGTTTTGTTGCTCGATTAGTCTATCAATCGAGGAGAGAGTCTCCAAACGCACGCGCGACTTTCGCCAATCGAGAAAGGAATCATTCCCCCAATATTCCCCCCTATATTGGCGTTTGGAAAGAAAATATAAAAATGTGTAGATGATCTGTGGGGCCTTTTTGGCTTTTAAACTGTAATAAATCTATGACGATTAAAATAGAAGAAAATAATATTAATAAATGATTGACTGGAAAGAAGGCGGAGGAAGTAGTAATTAATAAAAAGAAATATGTAGGTGAATAAAATAGAAAAATTAAAAATAAAAAGGCACATCGAGAAAAGAAAGAAGAAAAATTATTTAAAAATTATTTTTATAAAAATTCTAAAATAAAAATAAATTTATTTTTAAAATTGTTTCGGTAAAATATAAAAAGGCGTGTAAGGCTTAAAAAATTTATTGGGCAATAAACAGAATTTTTATTTTAGAAAAATTTTTATTTTTTTAAAAAGGAGCAGAGTTAAAAAAATGAATATTTTTATTTTATTAAAAATGTGTAGAGAAACGTTTTAATAAAAAAATTTTTAACACAAAATTTTTGTAAAATAAAAGGTGTGGAGGGTATATTTAGAGGGATGGTGTGACTTTTATTTTAATACAAAAGCATATTATAGACACAGTTTTTGGAAAGGTGTTTCTCGACTGGATAAAAGGGCAAAATAGGCGGTGGCGCAAAAAAGGACGGGGAAAACGGGAGAGACAAGGCTTAGAACGTTTTTTGATATGGAAAAACCGTTTTTTTAATAAAAAAGGGGAGGCAATAAAGCAGCAAGCCAAACACCCCCCAACAACCACCGGTTGAGCAAACGTACAATAAAAAATATCAAAAATGGTTTAAAGGGGGGGAAAAGATTTTTCTTTCTCTTTCCTTCCATTATTTTCTAGATTCCAACACTAAAATAACAAAAAAAAAGTAGACAGACGCCAACACTGATTTTTCTTTATTAAATAGAAAAATCTGAAAAAAAATTTTTATTTAATAGAGAAAAAGAATTTTTAGAGAGATTTGAGGAAAAAAATAAAAAATAAAATTTTTAGTTATTGTTTATTAAAAATAATTTGGCCAATATCCAATTTATTTGAACAAACAAAAAATTTTTTTTATTTTTTTTGTTGTCTGTCTATTACGATTTATCCGAAAAAGGGCGTTTTTATTTTGTTAAATCTGAAAGGAAAAAAATTTTAAAAATTATAAAAATTTTTTTATAGGTAAGCCGCCTTATTAAATGCGCGAATATTAGTAAGATAAAAATAAAAAATTATTTTATTGAAAGGGTGATTCATCTGGCAGCATTTAAAAATCTTAAGAGAATGTACGGAAAGGAGAGGTGTAAGAGGGGTTAAAAATCTTTAAGGATGAATATAAGAAGAAAATTTTTTATCGGCCGTATAAGCTCATTCGGTAAAGCGTATACAAAAGTATATAATCGAAAGCTAGTCTGTCCGAGCAGAGGTGGGTAGGAACAGTCGGAAATCGGAACTGGCTCAAAAGTCGGAACTCGGAAATCAAGATTTTTTTTGGAAATCGGAATTCCAACCACCTCTGTGTCCGAGAACACTTACAAAAAATTATATAAAATTGGCATTTATTCCAAAACCTTATAGAATAGAGAGTCCCCGACCGGTCACCGTTTGTCGGCAAGGCCACAGGATCAATTTGTACCCAAAATTTTTGGCTAAAATCTCTTTTATTTTAAAGTGTCAATATTCAATCAAAGAAATAAATGGGTTTTTGGAGGTTAAGAATTAAAGAACAAAAATCAGAAAAAAATATTTTGAAGATTTTCTCACATTTTAATTGTTCACAAAGAGGAAACGGAAGGAAATAAATATTTAAATTTAAAAAATAAACAAAAAAATATTTAAATTTATTCAATAAATATTTTTTTTTCTCTTTTTTTCCAAGGGTCGTCCCCTATAAAAATATTTAAAAGAAAGTGTCCACACATTTATTCCCTAACTGCGCGTGGAGGGATTTCTTCTTTTTGCTGTTGTTTAATTGACGTCCGCGCAACGAACACTTACAAAAGTTATATAAAATGTCATTTATTCTAAAACCTTTTCCCATTCCTTTTTTTTTAAAAGATCTTTTAAGATAACCTTGAGAGAGAGAGGAATAATTGATGAGGGAAAAAAGATGAAATAAAAAATATAAAAATATATTAAATGATTCATTTCTTCAAAAAAAATTTTTTTTAGTTGATTAAAGTTGCGCAACTTTATGATAAATAATATTTAATTAATAAAGTTAAAAAAATTTTGTAGAAGATTAAATAAAATAAGGCCAACAAAGCCTAGAGTAAATGAAATAAAATTGAAAATGATCCGTCAGTGATGGGATGGTTGGACGGTTAACAAGCAGGATTAAGTCCCATCCAATTAACATAAGATATTAGCTATTAACTAAGACAGCATGAAAAAACGATGAAATTATGGACCACCCTAGTATATGATAAAAATAAAGAATAAAAAGGGCAATCGTTGTTTGGCAAATGAAATTTTTGAATACAGTCGGATCTCGATTTTACATTTAATTTTGGTTCTTGTCCTTATGATCCGATATCGTGCGTGTGCTACTATTTTTATCTTATCCTAGTGTTACTCTGGATAATTAGAGTTTTCTAATTCCATAATTTTTGGTAATTAAAATGGAAACCGAGTACTTATCGCCCTTGATTGGACGCATAAATTTTTTATTGGACGCGTAATCTGGACAAGATTTCTACTAATTTCAACTCCCTTCCCCTTTAATTTAATACATCATGATTTAAAATTGAGATCCGGTTATAATTAATTTTTATTATCATTAGAAAAACTTTTTTAATTTAAATTAAAAAATGCCTCCTACTAAGCGGAAGTGAAAAAATAAAAAATTAAATAAAATTATTAAAAAATACATATTTCTTAAAAGAATTAATTATTATATTAAAAATAAAATTTAATTTCCGGTAGACAAAAAAAAATAAATATATTTTTCGAGAAAAAGGTAAGAAAAAACGTAAAAAAAAATAAATATATCTCCATCTATTTATTAATCATTTAACACATAAATTCTGCGACGATTTTTTGGACGAAAATTGGGTAAGTAAAAAAAAAACTAAAAAATATATATATTGACAGTTGTCAAATACATGTTTTTTAAAGGAAGAAAAAAATAAATAAATATTTTTATGTCATCACAGGAAATACTTGAGGGCTTTTTTGAGGGTTTTCTTTTTAGGTTTTTTGGCTTTCAAAGTTGGGGACAGGGTTAGGTAACATTTTTTAGATCAGGACATTTTTTTCTAGATTTGAGACTTGTGGCGGTTTATTTCGTGACTTTTCAATTTTAAAAATGGAATTTTAAAAGAGCGAAATATGGCTATTTTTGTAGGTATAAATTATTTTACCCCCTACTTAGTGTACACCTTTGGAGTTAGAAAATTTGTATGGTAAAGTTCGGTATCACTTACAAGCTATTGGAGAGCACTATTAATTTGGGGTCTCACTTATAATTATGTAGGCAGTTCCCGTTAGTGGAGTATATGGGTCCAAATGTAAATATAGTAGGTATTTAATATATTAATTGATTAAATTTTAATTAAAAAATAGTAATCATTTTAAAATAAATTAAGAAATAAATATTTCGAAATATTTTCTGAAAAAAAAGAAAAATAAAAGAATACTAGAGGAAAAGCGAGAAAAATGAGAAAAAAGAAAAAAGAATGTCTGTTACTATAAAATATTTTATTTATTTTTATATGAGAAAAAATAAATAAATAATATTATTTAAATAAATACACAAAACACACAAAAGAAAAAATTATTTTTAAAAATTATTATTTAATAAAATAAAATATTTAATGAATTAAAATAATTTAATAAAATAATTATCAAATAGGTAGTTTAAAGCAAGTATTTATTTAATTTGATTTTTAGTCTTTTTACAAAAATAGATAGAAAAAAATAGAAAATTTATTTCTTCTACTTAAATTACATATTTAGTAATTTATTAATTTTATTTCCGAAAAAAAAATTTTTTTTTTGGTTTAATAAAGAATATTCTTTATTTTAATTTAAAATATAGAGAATTTATTAAAAATTGGAAATGTGTTCTTATTTTTTGGTTATTTAACAAATAAAAATTAAAAATTATTTTAGAGGCAAATATTGGACTAACACAATAAATTGACAGAAAATTGACAGAAAATAATTTAAAAAAAAATTTTATTTTATTTTATAAAACACTTTTAATGTTTCCAATTTTTATTTAAATATTAGTTTCTTATCAGTAAAATTTTTTAAAATTATAAAAAAATTTTTTTAAAGAAATCTACTACCTTCTATACATTAATTTAAATAAGTACTTTTTCTT